GTACCAGCCACCGGCAACAAGCGATGTTGTGAGCCACCCAAGCACGGGGCAGCCCGGACCCGGACCAGAGGGATCCGGCACCCTGTAGGTAGAGGGGCACTTCAGTCAGTTTACAAGTGAAGGGGTTCGCGGGTTCGATGTTTCAAACTTCCAGCTTCCTCTTTCGAGTCATGGACACTGGTCGGGATTCCGATGAGCCATATCAAGGTATATATACCTCCGCAGTCGACGCCGCCCGGGGTACCAAGCCGTCGCGGTTGAGCCACTCCGTCAGCCTGAAATGTCCAGATGGTACCGAACAAACTTCCATCAATCACGTTGATCCTGTGAGGTGACGCTAGTCCCGCGCAAATCACCAAGATACTTAATCCCAGGTTAGTCGCGAGGTGAACATAAAACAGCTATATATAAAGATGATGAGTTAAGCGTTCACCCTTTTCTTATGACCCGAGTCTAACGACACCTGTTGATGATAACTCTTTTACTTATGCCATGCAAAATAGCGAGTCTACTTTGAGCAACTAGTAACGGCTTCGATCAACGCAACCTCTGGCACTTCGTGCAGAAAGCGTGCACGAATCACTCGCGGGCGGTTGCAAACGCAGGACACGCCGTTCACTGGCCTCTGCTTTTGCTGGATGTTCAAACGGTTGCCGAGGCCTACACGCAGCTCCATTCTCGACGGATGGCCCCAGCCCTTCCGTGAGAAGGGAAACCTGGCCGGGCCGAACGGGTGACAGCCACTGTCCTTGACTCGACGCTTTTACAAACGCAACATGCCGACAACGGGCGGTAAAGAAAGGAGTGTTCGCTTGATGATTTTAGACGCGGTACTCTCAACTGATGGAGTACCACTGGCGATCACTTCACATATCGAGCTACTGTAGCCCAAAAGTCTCTGATAAACCACAAACTCTGCTATCCCCATGGTTACAAAGTTTCAACTCCAGGGCCAGGGCTACTGTGTCCAATGGGTGAGCGAAGCCCACCATCTTGTCAACACCCGTCTATCTCACATATAAGCAGTGGGACTCATATCCGATGTCTTTGTTTCTAACTTGTGGGTAATTTTTTCTGGTCAAGCATTCATATACCGAAAGAAAATAAGTACTCTACAAAAGGTGAAAATCGAATATTGCAGGAAGGTAGTTAGCCAAGGACATAATAAATCATCAATATGTGATTAGAAACTACAAAACCACCGGGTACACAATTTACACTAGGTACATGACGCACCGTGCCCTTAAATAAAGTAAACAGACAATCCATATAAATTGCTCATAGGTTTGAAAGTCTAATTCAAATCGTACAACCTCTATGGAATTTCAATATGGTTTGCTTCCATGTAGTGGCCCAAAAGCACGGCGGGATGTCGGATCTTCCAAACGTCACGAGGTGGGTTAGGGTTATGCTGCCCGTGCCCCTGCTCCCAACTGCCCACTCTCTGACACGACAACGATCTACAAGATGGCAAATGGGCATCGAGGTTCTCCATACGTGTGATTCCAGAACTCATAGAGAGACACGACATACCAATCGGCCAGTGTTGCCTCACTACGTAACGGATCTACCCCAACGTGAACCATGAACTGACTATACCGTAACTTGGTACGAGTCCAGAGTGATTTGTCCCTCTAGCAATGCTGCTCCATGTCATAAAGGAGGCAATAGATTGAAGGATGCCTCATCTTATTCCTTGATATCTCTGAGAGCAAGAAGATCATCTCGTCCCTAGGTACATACAGGGCTCTCTCTACTTGGTACGGCACATGCTGCCGTTGCGGACGAAGCGGAGTGGACGGAGCTTGGCGAGGACAAAGCGAGAAACCGAAATCTCCGATTCCCAATGACCCCTGCCGCGCCCTTCTCCTCCTCGTCTCAAAGACCTCGCCCTGCTGGGTATGCCGCTTGCAAACTTTCCGGTGGTGTTTTTGGCTCATGGCAACGGTAACTTCCAATCCTTTGATTCCTTTCGCAAGACGAAATGCCAAGCTTGCAAACCGCATATGTAACTGCCACTGGAGTTGAGTCGCTGACTGAATTCCCTCCTTTACCCCGGACTCCACGTGGCTTCCGTGGATGCTCTGCCGGCCCGGGGCCCTGGCGCTAGCGGGACTGGAACCAATGACGGCGGGTGCGTGACCCCCGCGAACCCCCGCCCCGCCCCGCCCCGCTCAACTCGACTCTCGTCACATCTTCATCCCGCTCCCCGCCAGCCACGACAACAAGCCCTCCATAACGCCTTGCTACCCGACTGTGTACATTCTACGTTGCTCGCCGCCGCGTCGCGCGTGCACATATGCCCGTAAAAATGTCGTGTACAACCCACTACGCGAAGCGATCGACCGATGGAGGCAGAAGACACAACGAGAAGCTGGAGTCTGGAGAGGTGCGATGGGATCGGATTGGATCGGCCTGGATCGGATCTGATGTCGGAGTGGTAGTGTAGTGCAGATCTGCCAGATTTGTTATACCATCCACTAGCAGCAACGGCGTAGACCCGCGATCTGGAGACTGGATGGGGGAGATCATCGTTCGGTGATTCGCTGGGAGAAGATGTTGGCAAAACGACGTCCGTCTGTCTACATATATTCTATGCTGAAGGCGCTTTGAGACGTGGTTAGCAGACCAGGGAATTACTTCGGCCCAGGGATTCGCACTAATCGTGACGTGAATGTTGGAAGTATGAAGCTTGCAACGACAGCATTTGGACAAACTTGTGAGCTCACCATACCACTGGGACTGTGGCTCGGATTCCATTTCCATTAGGTTTCCGAATGCGCGGAGAGGGTGCAAATGACAGCCAATCGGATGACCCCATTCCTACGACATGCTGATGGCCACGATCATCCCCAGGAATCTTTAACAACTCGCCGGAGACTTTGGTGACTGACATGTGTTTCACTGCGGTTCATGGTGCCGTGACGAGGTGTTGCTGCTGGTCGTTCTGCGAATAACCGGACCGCTCGATGAGTGTTCGCGGCATTGGTCCATTGGCTTTGGCACCCCGCATTTCCAGTCATGGGACAGCGTGGGTGTAGGTAAGAGAGTATGGCAAAGCCTTGCCCTATACGCCTGTTTTTCAAGTTGTTTATCAGTTTTGCTGCCGCAATCCATCTATGTCTGGTTTTCGTTTACGGCAAATGTTGGGATAGAGCGGAGAAAGCGGGTGAACCAACAGCGGGCGAAAATGATATAATGTTAAATAGGGTATCGTCAATAGTTGTCGAGGGGGTTTCGCACGAGGCTGGGCATTGCTTCGTTCGTCAGAAAGAATCCTTCGGCAATTTGATTGGTGTCCATAGAGGTCAAGGTTTGATCGGACTTGTGGTGTCATTGGGCCATAGCCTAACAATTTGTTATTGCGTCACTCTTTCAGAAAATGGGCGAAAATTTGCTGCAACTAGCTGGCTGGCAAAGAACTGTCTCGTATCGTCCGTGAGACCTCCTTGGCCTTTGTATTTAGGTGTTGATGACGAGGAGCTGCTGCATCGGCGGAAGAGCTAGTTGGTGGAAGCCCAAGGTTGTTGTCGGATATCATTACGGCGGTACATGCACCGGTTAAGGGTCAGGGTTTTGGAGGGGGCGCGCTTATCCGTTACTTCGAGGAGAAGTCGACATTTGAAGGACCTGACGGTGTCGAGAACTGAAAACAGAGTTGTCGTCGTACGATGAGCGTAGCCGTCGTTCGCCGGAGCAGGATGTGGGTATGGAATGGCTAATTGTTCGGTATCTGCCTGTACGTCAGTGTCTCTGCCTTGATGAAGGGTAAAGCTCGAAGGAATTTCATCGTGGAAGCATTACATTCAAGAGAACATACCTTGTCAATGTCTGCATTTGCACAACCGTCTTGGAGGAGGCATCACCACAAGATCGGACAACACCATCAACTGCCCTGCAGACGGAGATCATTTCTGCGCCTGTAAACAATGCCAATTTTGGCCTAGAGGTAGTATATTCAATCCCAGAACTACTGCCATCAAAGACATATCAAGTATCATGTATGCACCTGCTTATAGGGAAGCGGTGGTTCCTGTGGGGGCAACATGACAAGGGTTGGACGCCACTTCAGCAAGCAGGAACCATTAACCGAAACATCGGTGCGCGGATCCACAAATAGGGCTGACCAATGACATATTATACAATCGCCAAGCTTAACTTCACGGCACATAAAAGTTGATATTCAGATAAAAGTTCAAAGTGATGAGAGATGTGGTCTTTGCCGAGCCGTTTTCAATGATCGTCGTGATGACTTCATTCGCCCCCTCGGACGATGCCCTCACACCACACCCGCTGAAGGGTTCAAATTACCTTCTGAGAGAGCCGTTGGAGCTTCTGGCGTTGGGACCTGGGAATCCAACTTCCAGTGATCAGAACTACCGTAACCAGACTTCATCGGGCGACTGACGACCCTCCTTTCAGGCTTCCCTCTTGCTAGGGCAGTGATGATCATCTCAGCCTCTTGGAATTTTCCGCTGGAGCTTTCCCCCTCAGGTAGCTGTCCCACTTGCCCTAACGATCACTTGCCTTATGTATTTCTTCTCTCTCCAGGTGCATACGTGCCCATGTATCTCCCCGCCAGACCCCGATCAGAGGCGAAGCCTCCCGAATCTCCAGCCCAAACGCGTCCGAGACGCGTCTTACAGACCGCGTCCACAGGTACGCGTCACGACCAGGGCGCGCCTTCCTCAAACGCGTCCATCAGCAGGGCGCTCCTTCCCTAAGCGTGTCTGCGGAGAGGGTGCTCCTTCCCTAAACGCGTCTTTGGGTAATCAACCCCAACCCACGAACGATTGTGGGGCCCAGGTAAACACCTTCTCTCGTGCGCGCCTCTCTCCCATTCTTCTCCTCTTCTCTTTCTCTTTTCATCTTCAATCAACCACAATTTTGTCGCTAGACTCAACAACTTTTTGTCGCAAGACTCATCTGATTCACCAACAACAACTGCTCTTTCTCTGCTTAGCCAGATACCACTTCTCAACAATCAACATTTCAGCAACATGCACAACTCAAGCAAGAAGGAGTTTTCTCTGCTGGGCGCCTTCCTCATGGAGCTGCTCTGGCTTCTCAGCACTTTGACTTTGCGCGCCATCGAGCTTCTCGACTCAACTCTGTTGGGTCCCGCTCAGAAGGTCATCGTCAAGTGCGTCGCTCAGTTTTTTCGTCGGTCCGCTCATCTCCATTGTTGACGCCGTGACTGGCACTCACCGTCGCTCGGCAATCAGGCCGCACGAAACTCTGACGACACTCGCCACTTTCCTGTGAACAACCATCATCGACCGGCTGCACACGATCACAGCGCCATCAATCCACGACACGGAATCTAGTTGCAGCTACGTCAGCTGCGCCACTCAGACCTCTGACGACGACTTCCCCACCTGGACTATGCTTGAGTTCCTCAGTGATGGCCTAAACCACCTCGCTGAGTTCTTCAACGCTGGTCTCAAGTCTGTCACGTCACCCTTCGAAGGCAACATTCTCACGACTTTAACTCACTCTCTCGTCGCTCTGCCAAGCACACCTGTGCGGAAGCAGTGCTCGCCTACCTACCAGCAGAAGAGCACGAGCCCCTCGATTTTGGATTGTTCCGACGATGACGCGGCCTAGAGCCCTGCTGATTCTGATGGCCCCAATCTCGACAGCCTTTCTGTCTGCTCGTCGTTCCATGCAACTGAGGAAGAAGACTGGTTATCTGACCGCTCCTTTTTCAACAGCCCAAGTCCCGCTGGTAGAAAGGAGAAGGAAGCACGCGTCGCAAAGCGCGGGTCAGATTGCGGCTCCGACATATCCATGCTTTCGGATAGAGAGAGGCGTCAGCGATGGCGCCGGGAAAACGACGAGCGTGTACGTTAGTACGCGGCCGATCGTCGTGACCGGGAGGAAAAGCAGCGCAAGGCTCGGGTCGCATTGGAGGCCCACTTGCAGCGTCAACGAGACGCTCGACAGGCTCCTCGGGGCCCTAGAGTGATTCGAGACTCGATCTCGGGCCGGATCTACACGAACTAGCCAGGTAGTGTAGTTTTCCGCGACGGAGAGTGTAGCATGGTCCCGCACGCCGGGTGCAGACTGTGCGCGCTATGAAGGGGCAAGAGTGTGGAGTTGGGTACCCAGCGCATGGTGAGGCGTAAGGAGTGAGTTCTTTCAATCCCCAATCCGGTCTGTGACAAATTACTAACAAATCTTTTCAGCCGCCAGTGGAGGAAAACGACTTCAAGATCGGACCGCATCGGAGGAGCTGGAAGGGCGGGGCGGAGGACTTATACTGTGAGGTGGAGAAGCCGGGCGACAACAAAGGCAAGTCCCCCTTCCCCAGAAAAAAATAAAGCACAAAAAAAAAGATCCCGCATACTTAATAGAGGAGTTTGGAGTTTTGGCGTACTAACCATAGATGGGTTGTGGGTTCCGAAGTCGCGCTCATTTTCCCTCCCGATCACAAGTGTGGGGTAAAAAAGGGTAGTGAAGTCGGACGTCTATGCCTCCACGTGGCACTACCTGGAAACCTAGGTGGCCTTTGCTGCCTAGGGCCAAATAGACGACGCATGGTGAGACTTGGTGGGCGGCGAGGGGTGAGGAGAGGGGGCAATGATGTCGTGCTGGAAGGGCTTGAGGGTGGGAAGGGAGGGTGTCCGGGTGCCCGGGACTTGGGCGTTGGGCAATGGGCGATGGGATTTGGCTTGATAGATCGATAGATAGCACAGACGAATAAAATAACCTTCCCACATCTTCCTCCCTGTGTGCAAAGGTGCCTTGCCTTGCTCGCGACGACTGACAGCAGAGTGATGTGGGCATCATGGTTGGAGTGGTGTGGCAGAGAACAAGATAGGTAGGCAGCGAGCGGTATGACGCAGGATATCTACTGGTGGCAGCAGGATATAGACAGCAGATGTCCATGATACAACGCTTTCCCTATACTCGCCAGCTCTCCATCCTAGATGAAGTTTCCACGTCTAGGAATCAGGCTTGGTTCGGCGATGATGGGCATAGGCATGGGCATGGGACAGCCATCCGCTCGTAGAGGCGTAGGTCGTGTCACTACTACTCTGGACTCCCATGGAAGTTTTCGTTCCAGCGGTTGCTATGCCAACGCCCTAGGCTGTGGATGTGGATGTGGCTTCGAGCTTGTAATATGCTTCACCAAGTTCCGAACGAGGTTCCCTCCCTCCCACTCGTCCGGTCCGGTGCCAGCAAGCACAGTTGCTTGGAGGCTCCATGCCAGCAGCGTAAAGTAAGGTATGTTCCACTTGGAACAAGGCTGCTTGGCCTCAAGCCGTCCGTCCCCATGCTAGAGCGACTCAAGCACGGGAACATAGGGAGCGTAGGTAGTCAACTGACTTGGTGATGACGTGTAAGAAATGCAGCAACTGCACTGAAAAGGGGTAGAGACGGAGGGCAATGTAGAAGCGGCGGCCGGAGAGGGAAAGGCGGGAGAATAGGCAGGGGGGGGCCTTGGGGATATGGCCCAACAGTAGTCTCTATGTCGCTGTCGGGTGTCCCCAGTATTTCCGTCGAGTGTACACTTAGATGGAGGCTTGTGTAACGCCCGTGTCCGTCAGGGACACAAGAAGGCCATCTGCTGAATCGTGAGCTATGTTGGTTGTTGAGCAAGGCTTGTTGGAAGTCGTATGTGTGCGGGTGTCGAAGACAATGGCGATGGGAATAGAGACTGCGAGTCTTCTTGACGAGAACGACTTGTATTATTTACGGCACTATCCACAACCCATACTTGACAAAGCCTGCTTTTAGGTATACACGCAATCCGAAGACGCATTGTCGGGGCACGAACAAGTCGTGAATGCGCTACAACACTGGAGAAACATACAACCAAGCGGGCTACCGCAGGCGTTACGCCCACCATATCCCGTCCCCTTTGACCATCTACCCAGACATCCAGGCGGCGGCTCTGCGGGCACCGAAAGACGTCGCGACGCGAAGACCATCCGCCCCCATAGGGAAGTAACTGACTAGGTACCAGATCAGAGCCGCCATCTGGACGAGGGCGGAAAGAAGGGTGAGGATCGTGCTGTGCAGCTATTTCGAAACGCCATGTTAGTCAACCATTGGACCCCGGACAGCGGCCAAGGCCAACTTACGCTAAGAGCAAAGTACATGGTAAGAATCAAGGAACCAAAGTAGGCCGAAGTAAAGGGCAACCTTGATCCAGAGGTCAGGTGCTTAAGGTACGCCCATGGTCCCATCATAGCCGCAAAGGACGTGATGAAGAGTATCGAGCCGAGTGTCCATCTGTGGAGTGGGTACCGCACACGTTAGCTAAACATCCATAGGTGACAATCCGATCTGCCCCTTAAAGTGTCGATGATGCCTGAGTCATCCAAGTGCCGGATGATCAGCCTCGTAGAGTCATCGGGCCGCCAACGTGGTTAGAGCATCATGCGAATGTTGTGCATACGCACCATCCAACGGATGGAGCGACGGGTTCGAGCGTATATTGCTGAGTCAAGTCAAGCAACGGGATGGGAAGAAGGGGGGGGGTCAGACTTCCAGGAGGGGGAGGCAGGGCTTGGAGAAACAACTTGGTGGAGGGGAGGGGGAAGGCTGTGAATAGCACAAGGACAAGCACTTACAGGATCACGAGTTTGCGCGGCTTAAGCGATAACACTGGAAACAAGGCGAAGGCCAGGACGAAGCAGGCCAGCGCGCCCAGATTGCAAGCAGCGAAAATCAACATGCGGTCCCACCGACTCACTATTGGGCACGAGTTAGCCTTGCTGTTGTGACGGCGATTTCCCAACTGGACGTGAACAGGTATAGCCAGGAATATGAAACCGCTATGCCATCCCCATCCCTCTCAAATGCTCTGCAACCTGGTAACTAAGACACGGAGACGCAAAAGCGGCACATGTCCTGCAGTGCAGATCTTGTCTGCAGGGTTACGGAGGGCAAATGCTGCAAAGCACAGCAGGCAACATGGGACAGACGAGCAACTGAGCCAGGCAGAATGGGGGTAGACTCACAAACAAACCAGCCTTCTTCCTCTTCCCGACGGGTAGGTGCTGGGAGAGCAGCACCGGGGCCTTCAGTCGTTGGTAGTTGAACATAGCCACCATTGCCAAAGGGGTTGAGAGACTTGATGGATGATAGTAGACCGCGCTGTTGGGACGTGTTGATAGGAATATCCGGTTCTCGGCGGGACCATCCTAGAGAGCCCAGAGAGTCCCGGAAAGATGCCGAAGCCATGATGCCGAGAAGAGGGGATGTCTAGGGTGTCGGTAGTATGAGGGAGTGGGGGTGGAGCCTCTGTGAGATGCGAGAGATGCGGTCTCGTTTCGTCCAGGACCGCAAGTTGGCCAGTACTATAAACCGATGTAAAGATAGAGTGTCCAGTGACCGTCTTTACGAGAACGGTTACTGACAAACAAGGCCGGAGCTGACTTGTGATAGATCGGATGGAAAAGGGGGGTGTAGATGGTCGAGCAAGCGGTGCTATTGGATAACGGTGCCGGTGAGGGTGGTGCGGTAAAGTGAGATACGCTCGCAGCGGGTAGGGCGACTGACAGAAGCGACCGCAGGCTGTATCCGAGAAGGAAGAGTTAGCTGAGTCTTGATGTTTGATATCAGGGAAGAGGCAATCAGGCGACCACCAGGCGGCCGGAGGTTGACAAGATCAAGACCCACGTTTGGTGTTCAGATGATACCGCAGTCAAGCTCGCGGCACCAGCTCTGGAGGCTATCGGCCGCAAAAATAGCAGGTTTTGGCGATCTGTTTCAGGCCCTTGGCTCCCAAGTGGAAATGCTGGAAACGCCTGGGGGTCGTCTGGGGGGAGAGTTCCGTGTTTGTCGCCGCCTTCCGACGCGGTGTGCGTGTTTGACAGTGTCGCTAGCTAGGGATGTGATGCCTGGCACACGCTGTCGGCAACTCGGGTATCTTGGAGGGCTGGCTGGCTGGCTGGCCGATTAGTGCAATAGCGGTAGGGTGCGCGGATGTGTGAAGGTGCAAATATTAAGAGAATATGGATGGTAGATAGGATGGTCGCGTATTGGGCAGGCGGTGGATGGGACAGCTCAAATGCGCGTGTTGGGGCGTGTCGCAATGGTGACAGGTTGATGCCCTACACAATAATGCTGAGGTTGCCCGGAGTGGAAGCTTGCTGGCTCTAGCCAAGTGGAAGTTGGCCAGCTCTCCGCCAGCTAGCGGCGGCAGTGAGGTGGGACTGAATGCGCATGCAACGGCCTGATCGGACGCAACCACAGGCTTGACATCTGTCTTCTGATTGGCCCGTATACACCATCCTTGCTCCACAAGGTGATCACGAACCCAGCTCGTAGGGTGGCATCCAAAGCGACATGGGAAGGCATCCACTCACCTCACGCCGGGCTGCTCTAGCGATAGCATCTCTCCAAAAGTTGAACCCCTTCGTATGGAGGGGCAGTCCTCCGCCATAGGTCGCCATGAGGGGAAGCAGTCCTACAGGGGCAACCAATGTCGAGAATGTTGCACAACTTGCTCCAGAGAGACAACCTTCAGTCGACATGACTTCCGATGTGATTTGCGGCAATCAATCGTGCTCGACAGACGGCAAAGGGAAGCATGGAATTCATATGAATTGCATGGGCGTCTCCTTATTGACGGTCTTGCTTCTCTTGACCTTCGACGTCAGCAAGGGTGAGGGGTCCATGGGCCAACGTCAGATCTCCGAGACTACCTACCTAACCTACAGTACACTACAACTTCACCACCACGCCTCGCTTGCCTAGCGCAGTCTTACTAGGTATGGGAACTGGAAAGCAGGCTCTGATCCTGATAGCGACGATGGCTCAACGTCTCAGATGACACTTGGCGCGATAAGACGGCGATGGGGATGGAGAGGGCCATGGCTTTGATCTGTCGCTAAGCCTCCCCTTGCTGTTCAAGAGTCCTACATCGGCTGGCTCCCTCGCCTGCTGGACGACGGTCTGACCCCGGGTTTCTCGGTGAGTGGCCCTTTCTGCCTCGGAATTATCGTGCCGGTTGTTATCCGCCTGAAGGGAGACATCTTCTTGGAGGAGTTAACGGTTACGGCCGAAATATACTCGATAGGACGCGACGTGCATGGCATATTGATGGTTTATTGGTATGTGTATTGCCGAGCTCACAAAACACGTTCGTATATGGTAGCTCTAAGCGCAGCATTATGCACTAGGAGATTCTGTGTTTCTAATCCTGAAAGTTTAGATACCACCCAGAGTCTTGATAACTCAGATCGGATAAAACAGTCCGGGTCTGGAGTAGATGTAGACCGTGGGAGCATGGGTCGTGAACTGGGTGTGAGGTTGCCATGATCAACGTTTTCGGATTGGTGTGCCTTAGTGTCTCACCCGCCGAGTCACGCTGATAGACAGATGCCCTCCATCATGGCAGGATGCTCTTCGCCCATCTTACCTTTACAAAATCTCCCATCTCCTCCGATGCTCCCGATCAGCTAAATCACCCCGAAAGATGTCGAAGGAAATCCACAGAAAAACCGGGCAATGTTGAGTCGCTTGCATCTTGATTTCTGCCATGATTCCAGCCCACCCTTTTTGACCGATAAGGTCAGCAGTTATTGTCGACAAGCCATCGGTATTGGAATGTGTGGGTGGCCTCGTATACACATCTTTGCCCTCTCCTCGGTCAGGATCAGTATATAAGATGTTGATGAGCCGCTTGGATATCATGGGCTTTCCGTAAACCTTCGTCGTAACCCGAACTATTCTTCCACTGTAATTCTTGACCTTTTGTTGCGCGGTCGCATAGATTTTGGTCATCCATCTCTAACTACCCGGCAGCGCTCACCTTGTCACTGTCCAGTTACTTCAGACGCCACCTTCATTCTCCCATATCTCAAGTTGCACGAGCCTCAACCAGATTCAGCCAGGCGAACATCAGTGCTCCACTGTACGCCCTCTCCACAATCACAAGGAAACAAGAGACATCAGACATCGGGCAATTAACCAACCGAGACCGGCATCCATTTGAACAGTTTTTATGCGGGACAAGAAGGCCGTGGTGTCTCAGAGAGCATTCCGGATCTGGAACATATCAACAAGTATACACAGGCAGATTGAGAGGACACAGCGGACTCACAGGGCAGGACACAAGGCCACGCAACCGCCCCCATATTCAACAGCCTGGAGACTATCTCGCTTATACAGGGTTCCGTGGGTTGCTCCAATCAGTAATCGAACCTGGGCTGGGCAGTCAGCTTATAGGGACTCACACCCGTCATCAATTCTTGGGGGCCAGCCTTGTTAACCTCAACGACAAAACAGTCAGTTGTGAGCATTGGAGGTCGATTAATCAACAACAACATTGTCAGCAACCGTCACCTGGCGGAGAGGCAGCGGTCGACAGCGGTCGACAGAGTACGAGGTCCAGACCGTGAAAGGAGATTAGGACCCGCGGACGGCCCGGGGATCACCTTGACTAAGACCCACTTTGGATCGGTAGTGTAAGTCCGAGTCTGGGGATGCAGCATCCGGATTCAAGCAAGTACTTACCCCAAAGGCATTGCACAGAGGTTGACGGTTGATGGATCAGTTACGGCGCACGCTTTGAGATCTCGTTACAACCCACCCACAAGACACTCCCCAAACCCTACACAAGACGGTCGGAAAGACCAAGCGAGATAGTTACCCCCAAGCACGAACTCCTATTGTCCGGTGGATCATTGTTTTGCGTCTTAGTTATTCATCGCCGACACGCCGGCATCTCTTATACATCAGGAAGAGTTACCACAACTCTCGCCTCACAATACTGGCACAGCACAGTGTGACACCCTTTGGCGGAACACAGGCAACAAGCGTCTTCGGGTGGTGAGCATTAGGAATTGCGGAATACGGATCGAGCCTCCACACACTATCTGAGGATATCCTCTTCTCCAAGCTCTTGGCCCTGGTATTTTCCCCCGTTCTCATCACATCTCAGGTCTTTCTTCTCCGTTCCCTATTGCCTACCTCTCCCCACTCTGTACCCCGCCTCTTTCTCTGCTCAAGACCATCATCCTGCAGGGCGCTCGAGTTTTCACCTCTTTTGATAAATCACCACCATCTCCAACTGCATACATCTCAAGACTCGTCTTCTCGAACAGCGAGCCAAAAACATCATTCTTGGGCAATCCTGTAATCGTCAGAAGTTGACTCACGCCTTACGCAGAAGTACGTGCAACTCAGCCTGCCTCAGCCGCCGCTTCCGCGCTGTATTCCGCTCAAACAGCCCGCAGCCAGCCAGCCAAGTTACCGCTCGAAGCGCATACAAATTGTGCTCGAAAAGGACAGGCTCCTCTTTTTGAGGTCGATGCGCTTGGCCTTCTAACGCCTTCCATTCGCCTACCTAGCACTGTGTGCACAGACTTGGTTGAACAGCCATTTTCACAACGCCTCTCGAACCGACGGAATTCTCAACGCGCAAACCTTCTCGTCTGGTTGCGAATTCCACCCACTTCAGCCCCCTCGACCCCCTCCCTCACACTCTCCTACACCTCGCGTCAGCATTTGTTGCCTCCTGGGGCCTCTTGGAAGTGCTAGGGTTGCGCAAACCACTATTACCGCAGAGGACGGATTACGATTACCGATATACGAGTACATTCCATCTTTGTGGCTGTACGTACAATACAAGTTTATACCGGCCGGCCGCCATTACACAGCCTGTAATAGGACATCCAGTGCCTCCGCTTTACCGCCTTTCTGTTAGTCCCCACCTTCACCCCAAAAGTTTCCCCTCTCGCAGACGGCGGCGCTTTCCACTTCTTCGCCCATCGCACACAACTTTAACCCAAGACGGAGTTGATTCCTTCCTCTCCTAACTCATTCTCCTCCTCCCTTCACCTCGCTTCTCCCTGCCTACCGCTGTCTGCCGTCTGCTGTGATGCCTCGCGCCTGCTTTAAAACATCCACTACGAGTTAGCAACTTGCCGCTTCCTGGTGTGCTGCCGTGTACTTAAACGGGACGTTCTGCTGACTCATCCCAGTCATTGCCCAACAGAAAAGGCCGATTGAACTGAAACTCTGAATCTCAACCGCGAACCACTCACTGCAATCACTGCAACCTGCAACCACTTCGCACCCCTTGTCGCTTTCGCTCTCCGTTCCTATTCGGCGACCGAAGCGTAGGCAAGATCCGACAAAAGAAGGCTGCGTTTTGACAATCGCTTGGCCCTTTCTTCCTCTTTCATTGCATTGCATTGCCTTTGTTGTCCTTCTCGGCGACTCGGCTCCCTTGTCTTCACGGGCACCCGTTGCAAACTTCTCCGAACATTGCCAAAGACAGTTAGGCGGCTACACACCCAACCCGACATTCACCCACATTCGCCCACAACAAACCGTTCACCAACCGCCGACTTCGACAAACCTCGACGATACGGTTTTTTATTCCTACGCAATCCTTGCAAGCGCTTTCGAATGAACTGGACGTCATTAATCCCCAGTTCCAACCCAATATCTTGTCCTCAGACCACCGCGACTTAGCGGCACGTCAGCCTTAGCAGCTTGCTCTCTCCTGACATCTTCCGGCATCGCTCTGAGCCAGCCTACCATCCCTACTGCCGCACCGAGTCACGCTCAACCTCGCTGTTGTTCGGTTGATTTCCATCTCCACTGTATGGCTGGCTGATTGCCAAGGTAAGCTCTTCATACGTACAATATTTGGTGCGATGCTGGGGCATGTTGCTGACGCTTCTGGCATTCTAGAGCCTGCGTTACTTACAAACTCGTTTACGCGCCACATCGTTGGCGTTGAAAATCATAGACATCCAAGCCTCCACCAATACCCCTCCGAACAATATGGCACAACACGGATTCCCAATGGGCGGGCATAGCGGAGGAGGCATCGACCCAAACGACCTGGCTATGGGAGGCAACTTTCATGGCTCGTTCCAAAACAACTACCTTAACCACACCAACAACCCAACTAGCGGGTACTCCAGCGGCTCAGCTCTGTTCGGAGACGACGAGCTCCTCGATGGTTTGAACAGTCCCAGTGACCCTCACGTCGGAATGCAGGCTCATGGGCAGGACTTCGGCGGAATGAACGATGTTCATGGCATGAACTTCCCGGACTCTTATCATCAAAGCTTGCCCATCAGCCAAGCCCACACGAACGGCTACTCGAGCACACCCGATGGCGATCCGATAGCCTCGCCATTTGTCCACAACTTCTCCCATTTCCGCCAAATGCAGCACCCGCAATCCTTCGGCACATCGCTTCAGTCGCCCATGTCATACGCCGGGTCACCATTAGCGAATAATGACATGAACAGCGATGGGACTGACCCGAACTTTTTTAAGTGCGAAAGCACGTACCAGAATACCGCAAACTATGCAGCGCAAGTCGTCTACCACACGCAGCCCACTTACACCCAAGGCGATAGATATGGCCGGACTTTCGGTGAACTCGGGATCATTTGGCCCTCAGCCCATCAGGACATCAGGCCCCCACCATGAGAAGTCCCACTCCGCGCAGTGGATGCAAACCCCACAGAGCCTGTCCTCGTTTCCTGGGTCCGGTTTCTCATCGCCTCTTCAGGCAGGCCTTCATGGGCCCCATGCGCAAATCAACGACATTCTGTTGAAGGGCGGCACATCCATGCCCGCCAAGCTTGGCACCACGACCTCATCTGTGTCAACACAAGAAGCCAAACGGAAGAGGAGGCGCGAGTCACACAACCTCGTCGAGAGACGAAGACGTGACAATATCAACGAGCGCATTCAAGACCTTAGCAAGCTGGTTCCTGCCCATCGTCTGGAGGATGAGAAAATTCGCAAGGCAATCCAGAATGGAACGCCCCTTTCACCCACGCTTGCGGGCATCTCAAGTCCTTCTCAAGCCACATCAGCCCTAGCTGGGCCTGGAGCAAGACGAGCTGCTGGCAGCACGGCTGGAAACATCACAACAGGCCTGCCGATCGAGGAGAAGGACAAGGGCCCCAACAAGGGCGACATTTTGAATGGTGCGGTGAGCTGGACCCGAGATCTCATGTGGATGGCCTACCTCAAGATTCAACAACAAGAAGAGCTCATCAATGCCTTGTTGGAGCGTGGGGGTTCGGTACCCTTTGAGATCACCGATGATGAGAAGCGGATGCAGACGGAGCTCATGGAGGCCATTGCCAGAGGAGAGGACGGCAGCGGGAAATCCCGGGGATTCTCGTACTCTCGAACGGCTGGCACTGGCCTTCGTGTTCCCCATCATACGGACTACAAGGGTGAGCCCTTGAACACCAACGGTGTGAATGGCGAACACCTTTCCACCAGTCCCGCCCACGGTGGTGCCGAAGGAAAGTTCAACGACGGGCTCGATGCCGGCGACTTCCTCGATTATGAGGACGACGGTGCTGATATGGAGTTCAAAGAGGAGGATGAGTATGGAATGGACTTGACTCAATAATCGTAGGAATCAGATTTGTTTGATCGCAATGATGGTGTGGATTTTCGGTTTTTTCTTTTATGCGAACGCAGGGGGGTCTTTCTCATCTCTTTACCATCTCTTGGAAGCTTATGGATATATCATTTATTATCTCCGGCCGTGATCATCATTTGACAGGCTTTTACATCCCTGATTTGCATTTTCATCGCAGCGGCACATGGGGAACGGGGTCTAGGTACTTAGCATTTCACTGGTCGTTCAGGGATTGAGCACGAATGTGGTTTGGCACATGGGCGTACAGACTGGGTCTTGTTTTTTTGTTTCGGGTTTTCGCTTCTATTCTTTCAAGTGTTTTCTTTTCGTCGGGCGGAGCATCGTGTGTACACGGAGGGCATATATGGCCCTAATCACTCAGCGTGGTGCAACTTGATAGCGCAGAGGGATTGGGTGTGCGTGATTTCATTGAAGTATCATTCTTACCATTAGCCTCTTCGGCTCCATCTCTTCTGGTGTTATGTCTGCTCTCGTTTGTTTTTACGGTGCTGGTCACTCTGGCGTACTACCCGGTTTTCTCCTGCTTATGACGATTATACCTCGGGCGCCTTGGGGATTCCATCGCGGTAGCATGAAGGAGGAGTTGACTCTGTTTCTCAACAATTATATCCAGCACAATCATGACAATCACCGCTCTATTCCATCGGTTCATTACATTATCCTTTTGCCCGAGCTTGATGACTGCCTATGATGATATAGATCACTGCAGTGTGCCTCCAATTTTGACAAAGCCGAGCATTGCATATCCGGAGCTGTCGGGCAGTCCATTCAGAGGACCGATTGCCAATGATCCTGCTGGTGCCCGGGTACGTATCATAAGGGGACCTCTGTTGAGTGCCCGGATACGGATGGGCTGTGGCAGTTGCTTCCTACCTAGAGATACCAAAGTCGAGGAAGGAACGAGGTTGCCTAACAAGGCAAGAACGTCAGCGGTCGCTCCATGACATACTATCACGCGATGGCAATAACCAACGCATCTTCCATTTCATAAACAGCAAGTGTAGGCTATGAATTGGCACTGCCAAAAACCTTTCGCTTTCGAAATTATTTTGTTCCATCACAAGTACTCTCTACCACTCAGCAATCAGCTATCTTACCGGCATGGCAGCAAAAGTATGTGTACATACTACAGAGCTATTCTCCTCCCCTTCCTTGTCGATTTTCTTACCAGTGTCTAGTACACAACAAATACTCGCTCATGGCCGTCAACAACGACCACGCCTCCTTCCGCTTCATGTCCTCCTGCAAGGCAATCCGCTCCAGCGCCGACCGCCCGTTGAAGTACTTCCAGAACTGAGGCCACGTGTTGGCTACCCGCTCGTCCCAGTCTTTGGTCCCTCGCTGAGCGGTGCCTGATCCGGAGACGGTACGTGCTCCTGCCAATCCTCCGGGTCTGCCAGTTGTAGTTGTTGTTGTGCCGGTGCCGACGGCGGCAGTGGTGTTGTTCGCGGGGGATGGGATGGTTGTGGAGTCATTGCCTGTGGCGGTATTTGCACCGCTAGGAACATTAAGATTGTTGTTGTTGTTGTTAACATTGCCAGCCCCAGCAGCAGCAGCAGCAGCATCCTCCGTCCCTGTGCCTGTCCCTTCCGCGCCAGCAGCATCAGCAGCTCCGGCCTCAGACGCAGCAGCAGCAGCAGCAGCAGCAGCAGCCGCCACCGCCGCCGCCGCCGCCATCTCACCACTCCGCCCCCTCAACCTCCTCTCGATAGCACTCAAATACAAGCTCTCCTTCCCCGTGGCCTTTTTGGCATCCAGGATAATATGCGGGCTCATACCCAGCAGGTACTTAGCTTGGTTCACGCTCGGGTGTCTCGTCGCCTGCGGCACGGCCTTTCTGGCATGCGCCATGGCCCGCTCCGCGAGCTCGCGCGCCGCTTTGTCGGCTATACGCTCCAGTCGGGCTTTTTCTGCGGCCTGCTCGGCGGGGGTGGGCTGGTGGTGCGTGGAGGAAGTGCCGGTAGAGGCGTTGGTGTCTTCGGATATGGTGCGGGTGAGCTGGAGGGTGGGGCGGGGTGGGTTGAGCGTGTTGAGCGTGTTGGTGGAGGTGTATGAGGCCGTGGGCGAGGAGGAACGGTCATTGCTGTTGTGGCTGTTTTCCTTGTGGGGGTTATTGGTCATGTAATCGCTGGTTCCGAGGATGAGGGTCGAGAGCGAGGTGGTGGACATGGGCGAGATTAGAGTAGGGAGGAATTCGTTGATAGGGGTAGAAGCTGGTTGGTTTCGGGAAAGGGTGGGTGAATGCGAGATCGACAGGTCACGGAGAGTTGCGGACGAGGAATCGAGGTCCGAAACCGATGTCGAATCGGCCGTGAGAGAGAGGAACCCAGATCCGGCGAAACCTGCTAGGGGACCCTCGCTGAGTGCCGCTGCCAACACGCTGTTACCAGACCCTCCCATATCACCACTGTTGTCCGCCGTTGTTGGAGACAGCATGTCATCGTGGTTGTGGCCTCGATCCGCTTCCCGGCCCCTATTCTGTGCTTTCGCCTTCTCATGTGCAATCTCCTCTGCCTCGAGTTCATATTCAACCTCATATATGATCTCCGGCCAGACCACAACGTAAGCGAAGGTGCAGAGCTGGGTGACCCATCCGCCACGCATCAACCACGCCAGCATAGCCATATAAAGAGGCCGGTGAGCCTTACTCGGACAGTGCAGTTTATATGGCCGCGGTGCAACGCTCAGCTCGGCCAGGAAGTTGGGCAGCAGTGGCGAAAGTGGGAACTGTCTCGCCCACTGGGCAGCTGCTTGAGGAAGCCTGCGCAGGTCGCAGTTGGGGCTCACGATGTACATGTCGCGGCCGTGCAGAGGCGGGATAGCGATGGCTCGTCGCCAGAAGATGAAATGCTGGGCAAACCTCCGCACCTGAGCGGGCGAGAGGATACTGCTTGCCTGTTGTTGCACTTGATGGAAGGACAAATTAGGCTTGCACCGACGTACAAACTCGATCATGGCCTGTGTGGTAGGGTCAGATTCGGGCCCCAGCAGTTCGTTGATGACCTTTTTCTCTTCCGCCATCAGGAGGAGCGCAAACGTCTTGTCCAGATATTCGGGCTCCTCCACGCTCTCGTCGGCTTGCAACGAGTTTGCTGTCGTCAACCACAGACCAAGCTGTTCCTCCCCTTGGCCGTCCTGAGGCAGATCGGACACATGAAATGGCACAGGAATCTGCACGGAGTGAGTGACCACACCTTCGATGGTCTCAAGCTGGATGGCAGCAATTCTGTTTCGTGATATGGCGTCGTATATGTCCTGCATAGAAGCTGCCAGTGAAGAGGTCGATAGGATCTCTTCCCATAACTGGCTCATCCTTCTCTCTGGTTCACAGACAGGCGTATTAGCAGAGTCCAGCGATGGAGCTGATGAATGCACTCACTGTCTTCCCGACCCTTGTCCTTCAAGGCTAGAATCTTCTTAGATTCTTTCCATATGAAATCACTCCTCTGCTGGCAGTACTTATATGCCTTGTTGACTTTTTTGATGATATGCGTGTAGAGTATGTCGACAAGGTCGGCAACCTCATGCCTCTTGGGGTTCAAGATGAAGACAAGGTTGAACATGGTCATGGAACTCTTCTTGTCTTCGGCCTCTTCGGTTGGTTTGACATCAGGCTGGTCTACATCCGAGGGGCCTTTGTCACTGGTCTTCGTGGGACCGTCCGTATCTGTTGGGCCGGAGTCATCATGGTCTCGCTGTTTTTGCTGCTTCTTGCTCTTCTTCCGCCAGACCCCATTCTCTGGCACGTATATGGGATACGAAACGCAGTAGAGAGAATCCAGGGAAACCTGGAACAAGCGTTTGTGATAGGCCCTGGCCGGAGTCAAAATGTTTTCCAGATCCTTCGTTGGAAAACCAGCAACGTGCTCCCAAGGAACGATTTGAGTGCCGCTCTCGGTAATGAGATGGTCGTCGTGGTTCCATTGTGCCAGCTCGGACTCCTTTAACGGCGACGAAGAGGTGGCATCGATGCCAACGGCATGGGAAACTGGATGCAGAAGGGCCTCGTCTTCTTCGTCCAGATCGTCCAGATCATCGCCATCTCTTGCGGCTGCTGTAGCCTGTGGTGGCAAGACGTGGGGAGGATAGTGGAAAACAAATCGCGGACCGTCCCGAGAACGGTTGATGACGAGAGCAACAGCGAGGAAGTTGTCGGGGCTAGGCAAGACGGGGTACGCCATTGTGAAGCTTTTCGAAGGTTGTCTTTTTTCCTCGTCGTTTTCCCCCTCAGTGATGGCCCGGTGATTCGATTTGATTACAGCCTATAGCACCTGATTGCACACAACTGGAGACCTCGTGCAAAGTGGATGTGCCTATTTAAAACCACATCGATCTGAAAGGCCAAACTATGTCATTTCTCAATGCTGTCTGTGTCTGTTCTAGTTGATATCCTTTGCTCATTCTCAGACCATGGTCGCTGAACGGTACTTGGCGTGTCTCTCTTACTGCCGGACGTGAGTGAGTTGTGAACTGTGCAGCACAAGATGGAATATTCCGATTGCCGTAGTCGCAGCTGTTTGGTGAAACAATGATAGCTGAATCTGATGCCTACTACCCCCAGCGCAACTCGACTGGACTGAATGGTGGGCAAGGTGACTCGAGTGAGGGGCAGATGGGATGACGGCCAAAGCGACGTCAGACGGAAGGAAAGCCGAGGCGGTTTGTGACACCAAAAGCTGCAAATGACGCGAGGGGCGCAATGACAATCCGCGATGGAAAATCAGGGTTGAAACTCCAAGGGATGGCTCGTTTGCGATTCGACCGTTTCGACCTTGTGGTGATACTGATGGGGGTCCAGGGTGGCGGTAGTTGTTGGGTCTTGGCCAACCGCAATCCACTCCTCTCTTTCGTTGAATCGTTCGCGACTTCACGTGCTGTGCAACCCCATGCAGTGCCCGTGGGCGGACAGCGCGGGCTGGCGAGAATCCATGACATTGATAGGAAGGTACGTACCACTAGGGACCATTGACAGCACTAGCCAAACACGGTTAAGCGATCCAGACTAGTCCAGTCAGGAACGTCCTTGAAGGGACCACCAGGCACAAGGGACCGCGGGGGTTTTGGCGTCAGTTGGGGTCAGCGTGGTTGGCAAGGTTGACTCGTCGTAATTGGGGCGGCAAGCGGCCCCATGTGTTTGTTTGAAGAACTGGGGCCCGGCTTTGTTGGTGGGGATGGCGACTTTTGATGAATAAACCCGAACGGGCAGCCACAGCCAAAGGGCAAGTGATCGTGTGAGGAAAGCCCAACGGACGGGATTTGATCATCGTCTTTACCGGCTTTACCAAACTGGCCTCACACCGACGCATCATCCAAGGTCAAGTGTTTCGATAACCCTCCTGCCTGTCCAGTCTTTGACGAAGCCAATCCCTCTTCATTTTCCCATCTGCAGTGCCAATCCTTCCCCCATTGACCGTCCTGAATCGGCCTAGAGAGATACAATAGGTACATACATAGAAAGAATTACTGGCCTGTAAACAACCCCCTCCCCTTTTTTTTATCTCCGTGGTCCTCCTTTTCTTGACATCCAACCTGCTGCTCTTGCTCCTGCATACCCCTACGCGCATAACGTCTGTCAACATTTCCTACTGCATTGCTACATCATCTAACGCAAGAAAACTTGAGCAGATTTGTCCATTGAACCGAAACGCGAATTCCATCACAGCCCTCTGCAGCCAATCTCCCAAAGAGGACACACACATACAATCCCCAGCAAGCCCGAGTCGGCCTTGCGATTCCTACTGCCACCATGGCTGTCACAACAGAGAACGGCACCCAGACAGCCAACGGGCCTGTTGAGCATCACATTCGGTACATCCCCTTGGCCTACTTAAGCGAGGACTCGGAAGCCACCGCCCGCCGCCTCGTTCTTGCCATTCGCCCCGACTGGGAGAGCGCCGATTCCAACGTCGAGTTCGTGCGCTTCACAGATGGCATCACCAACACACTCCTCAAGGCAGTCAACAAGAAGACCGGCCTCTCCAAGGATGAGGTAGACAAGGAGGCCATCTTGCTCCGCGCTTACGGAAACGGCACCGACCTGATCATCGACCGCCACCGCGAAACCCAGAACCACGAGCTGCTCATGCGCTACGGCCTCGCCCCCGAGCTTCTCGCCCGTTTCAAGAACGGCATGATGTACCGCTTCGTTCAGGGCTCCATGACCCACCCTGAGGATTTGCGCAAGCCCGTCATCTACAAGGCCGTGGCCAAGAGGCTTGCCCAGTGGCATGCCGTGGTACCTTGCATTGCTGCCCGCACCGGTCACAGCCGCAGAAACTCCAAGAACACCGACTTCGTTGTACCATCCGAGGCCCTTGGAGATGCCGAGTTCCAGCATGTCATTGACAATGTCGCGCCTGGAAAGCCTCCCCCGAACGTCTGGACTGTCATGCAAAAGTGGATCTTTGCCCTGCCAACAGATACGGAGGCGCAAAGAGAGCGTCAAGCTGAGTTGCAGAAGGAGCTTACCAGAACTGTTGCCGAGCTGAGTCAGCGGCCAGGCTTGGGTCAGAATGAGGTGAGTACCATGTTTTCTCTCTATGTCTTCCCGTCTCAACGTGACGGATTAGTTTGGCTAACACACTTCACGCAACAGCTCGTGTTTGCGCACTGCGATCTCCTCAGTGGCAACGTCATCGTCCTTCCCAAACCCCAACAGACACCCGCCGAGAACAACGGCGTCACCGCTAAAGACACGACCACGGACGTGACCTTTATCGATTACGAATACGCTACTCCCTCACCAGCCGCCTTCGATCTTGCGAACCATTTCGCTGAATGGGGTGGCTTCGACTGCGACTTCAGCGTCCTTCCCACCCGCTCCCAGCGCCGCGAATTCATCACCGAGTACATTCGCGCCTACTATGCTTATAAGAACGAGCAGAACGGCACCGCGGCCGATTTTGACGAGGCGGCTGAGGTTGACCGTCTACTAAACGAGGTGGACGTCTTCCGGGGCTTGCCCGGATTCTACTGGGGCATTTGGGCGCTCATCCAGGCGACCATCTCCCAGATCGACTTTGACTACGCCTCCTACGCCGAGACGAGACTGGGCGAGTACTGGGCTTGGCGCGCCGAGATCTCGGGTGATCGTCAGCGCGCAGGCAAGGAGATCCCATTGAGGGAGAAGAGGTGGGCTCAGGAAGAATGAGTGCAAATCGGCAGAAAGATAAATAAGATCTCACGACATCTGTTTGCATACACAGAAAAAGGAGGAAAATAGCGTGGGTGGGCAGGCATGGCGTGTCAGGAGTCGGGCTGATCACAATCGCCTATACATGCGTGCATGCATTCTTTTTCGGTTCTATCTCACAAATTCTTCCCTTCATGTATTTACTACGGGAGGGCTCTGTATGGGAATAGGGGCGAGCATTCAACATTGGGCTCACGGAGTTGTTTTTGTTTAGCATGGATTAGATACCTCATCTCAACAGTCGGTCAGTAGCTTTAGTTAGCGCGTTGAACATAATCATATTTACCAAAGAGACAAGCTTTGGTGCTTGAATATTTGTCAGTTCGTGATTCATACTGACAACTTGGAAGACGGCCAACCCAAGCGGGAAGAGTACTCACGAAGAAACGACAGTGGATTGAACTTTGATATTTGATTTATCTACGCCAAAACCCATAATGGGTGAACGGGCAGTAGCTTCCAGACGCCCATTAGCTGTCCTGTTCTATCCAGTTGTTGAAAACAATATACAACATCGCCGTGCCCGGTTTGACGCCATTCATGACCCTATAGTACCCTTTTTATTCCTGCCGCAGAAATTCATTGTTGTTGAAGCAATTAACTCCTCTGACCACGCATTGTAGCCAGCCCCTGCCACTTAAATTATAGGCTTTCTGCTCCTCCTTTGCCACCCTTCATAACCTAACCTATTCGTCCTCAAGCACTTTAAGCAGACTTGTAATATTTGCTGGGCACAAACGGCATCTTGGTCACCACAGCCGGCCTGGCCTTTCCTCTCACAAGAACCTCCACCTCGGTCCCGCTCTTGTGCTGGCCATCCTTGATGTACCCCATCGCAATGTTCTTCCCCAGAGTGGGGCTCGGGCACCCGCTCGTAATCCTGCCAAATTTCGTGGTCGGGTCTCCCTTGGCCACAATCTCCGCGCCTTCTCTGGCGGGAGCACCGGTGACAATAAAGCCCACACGACGACGGGTGACGCCCTTTCCTCCCTTGCTCTTGGGCGTCAGCTGGGCGGCGATGGTCTCGGCGCCGTAGTAACCGGCATCCGCCTTGCGGCGGTTGGGCGGGATGATCCAGCTCAGCGCGGCCTCAACGGGCGACACGCTCTCGTCCAGGTCGTGTCCGTACAGGCACATCCCCGCTTCCAGACGGAGGGAGTCGCGCGCGCCGAGACCGGCGAACTGGACCCGCTCGGCGCCGCCCACGCTAAGCAGCTTCTCGGTCACGGCAACGGTCTCGGATGGCGGGATGGAGATCTCGAATCCGTCCTCGCCAGTATAGCCGCCGCGGCTAATGAGCAGCGGGGCGCTGGTCTTGCCATCGAGTTTGACCTTGCCGTAGACCGACTGGCCAAAGTACAGCTGCTTGAGATCGGTGGTGCCGTCGAGCGCATCAGCCAAAACGGCCTCCGCCTCGGGTCCCTGCAGGGCTACGAGGCCCCAGCCGTCCAGCTGCTCCTGGCTAACCTCCAACCCGGACTCCTTGGCCTTGGCCAGCTCCTGGTCAAAGTACTCGTTATCCTTCTCGCGGCAGCCGGCGTTGGTGACGACGTAGAACTTGTCCTCGGCCAGCTTGGTGACGATGGTGTCGTCGACGATACCACCGGACCCGTCCGCCTTGAGGAGGACCGAGAGGGTGCTGTGGTGGACGCCGAGCGAGGCCAAGTCGGAGGGCGTGACGCGCTCGAGGAACTCGCAGGCACCAGGGCCGGAGAAGATGCGCTGCACCATGTGGCTGACATCGAAAATGGAGGCGTGTTCGCGCGTGAAGGCGTGCGAGGCGCTCACGGACAGGCCCTTGTACTGGACGGGCATGTGGAAGCCGCCGAAGGGAACCATCTGGGCGCCGTGGGCGAGGTGAAGGTCGTAGAGGGGGGTCTTCTGGAGGGCCTCCGATGAGGCGGATGAGGAGCCATGACGGGCTTGCTGGGTCTTGGACGAGAGAAGGGTTGCGTTGACGGCTGTGGTGCGGGAGACGTTGTTGCGAGTGGTGGTCTGGGGACGGAGAGTGTTGAGAGCGCGGGTCGTGCGCGATACTGAGCGCTGGGAGACGCGGGTAGCGCTTCTGATGGCGTTAGCCACCGACGCCGACTTTAAGCTCTGCATTGTTGATGAATTGGTGCCTTGTTTGGACAGGCGCTCTTGTTAGCAGTGCAGTTGTTGTCTTTGGTGTTGTCGTCGTGTCTCGTGTGACGTCCAAGTTGGGATCTTGGGGATTCGAATGCAACCAAGCTAATGAACACAGAAAGTGAAGTAACGTAAACAATCTACACAGGAAAAGAAAAGTTGCAATGCAAACTGGGAAAGTACAGTCATAAGAAGTTCAGTCACTGGATTGAATCGTGGTCTGTCATCGTTGCCGATCCTGGCCGAGACCGGGGGTCGAACACCCGAACATGCCCCACTCGGCTAATAGCCCGGCTACCGTTGCTATGGGGTTCCCTTTTGTTTACTCATGCGGGTTGGCCCCTTTTTATAGGGCATTCCTGTCCATTTGCCTATTCATTACGTACTGCTCCAGGAAATGACTCGGGCTCCAACTCGAAGGCCTAAGTATCCAAAACGATCTACTAGAACCCCCTTCCAGCGCGTTTTCTGGCCGGTTTTACCACAGCACCCGACTTGACCACTTTCTTGTCCTTCGATGGGGCCGCCTTCTTCACAAGCTGAAGCTCTTCTTCCTCGTGCAGCTGGTCCTCTTGTCGCTTCTTGTCCGCTGCCATCTGTGCCTCAATCTCCATTTTCCTGTTGAACTCCGTCTCCGTGATCCTCTTCTCCCGTGCCGAATATCCTTTCTCCTTGACCGAATAGAACACACCACCGAGATCCGCCAACCAGTGAGGGTCCACCGAGGTGACCGTTGACATGTACTCTTTACTTGTGAGGATAAGCTCGTGGTACACCACATAGTCTGGCAAGAAGCCCAGTCCATAGAGTGCACTGGTCGGGTGCAGTTGGACGGTGACACTCGTCCTCAGGTTGATGTACTCGCCGATGCCCTTGACCTTTGCTGCCTGGTGGTAGTAGCCAGAGCAAATGCACTTGCGAATGACATCCCAGTCGGTGCCGCAGCTCATCATCTTCATATTCTGCATCTTCATAATATCCAGAAGCTGTTCGCGAACTTCCTTGGCCCGACGAAGCGACTTGGAGTGCAAAAAGTGTCGCACGCACCAACCGTCGTTATACCCGTTGGCCTTCCACTGTGTGTAGACGTGCAGATAGGTCAAGTGGTCCGATTCCGGTACAAAGAACTTCTCGCGAGCCGCATCTGACTCTTCTTGTCGTTCCTTTGGCCGGTAAAACACGTTGGGAACGGAGAGCATCGAAACAATGGTGACCATTTCCTCGCTGCATCCGTATTCCTCCGACGTGATGAGCAGTTTGGCAAGAGGCGGATCCATTGGGAAGGCGTTCATCTTGCGCCCTAGGTCGGTGAGCTCTCCAAGGTTGTCTAGTGCGCCCAACGCCCACAAATCGAACAGCGATGTGCTGATGGTATCCTGAGGTGGAGGATCCATAAAGTCGAAATCAAGGAGGTCTTTGACACCGAGCGACTTGAGGAGCAGAACGGTATTGCTCAAGTTCGTTCTCTGAATCTCCGGGATGGTCTGCATGTACATCTCATCTTTGAAGGCCTTCTCGGTGAACAGATGATATGCTTGACCAGGTCCAGTGCGACCGGCGCGACCAGCACGCTGCATGGCGTTCGCTTGTGAAATAGGCGTAATCTGAAGGGTATCCATACCCATTCGTGGGTTGTATACCTTGAGCTTGGAATATCCTGCATCAACCACGTACATGATACCATCCACAGTCAAACTGGTTTCCGCAATATTCGTGGCCACGATGACCTTTCGGACTCCCGGAGCGGCCCTGTCGAATATCTTGGCCTGCAAGTCTGCGGGCATTTGACTGTAAATGGGAAGAATACTGAGTTTCGGCGGATCGTTGAGAGCATCTAGCCGCTCGCGGATGAGCTCGCAGGTGACCTCAATATCTTCCTGGCCGGTCATGAAGACGAGGATATCGCCTGCTGGTTTTCCCACATGAATCGCTAGAACTTGCTGCACAGCCTGGTCCACGTAATCCTCCACAGGTGACCGATGGTACATGATGTCCACGGGGAAGGTTCTTCCGGGGATGGTGAACTCGGGTGCGCCGCCATAGAAGTCGGAAAATCTCTTCGCGTTCATCGTCGCAGACGTGACAATTAGCTTCAAATCACGGCGCCTTTGGAGGATTTTCTTGAACAATCCCATCAAAACATCCGTATTTAAAGCTCTTTCGTGGGCTTCGTCCATGATAACGCAGGAGTAGCGGTCCAGGTCTGGTTCATTCAGCGATTCGCGTAGAAGAACACCATCCGTCATGTACTTAATAACCGTATCCTTGCTGGTACAGTCCTCGAAGCGGATGGCATAGCCTACCGTGCTGCCAAGCTTCACCTCCATCTCCTCGGCAACACGCTTCGCTACACTCATAGCCGCGACTCTCCTGGGCTGGGTGCAACCGATCATGCCCGTCTTGCCGTAACCGTCCTCGTAGAGAAACTGGGTAAGTTGTGTCGTTTTACCAGAGCCTGTTTCTCCAATTACAATGACAACCTGATTGTCACGGATGACGCGCAGCAGGTCTTCTCGTACAGCAAAAGCAGGAAGGAATTCGCGCTGCTCTCTCAAGGACTTGGTTTGGCTGAAATTGCTGGCACCCTCTTCCTTCTTCATATGCTCACTGAACTTGTTCATGTTTTTGCTCTTGCCGACCTCCTCCACCGCGATAGGGAGGGCGCTGTCGGTATCTTCCTCCTTGACTCCCATCAAGTTGCCTAGAGCAGTTCCCGCTACCTTGGTGGCCTCCTGCGCCTGTCTTTGGCGCTCGCGTTGCGTCCTCCTTTCCCTGACCACCTTACTTCCTTTTCGAGCGAAGACAGCCATATCACTCTGAGAATCGCGCACGGCGGGGACAGGGTCCAACTGCTTTGTGAAGATGGTTCGTCCATCCAGGAAAGGAGGTCGTAGGTCGTGCACTAGGAGATGCACTCTGGTACCCTCCTGGTCGTCCTCGAAATCTTGCCCCAGATCCCTCCTTTGCGCGACGCCTGAAGTGAGCATTCGGTTTGTCTCCCAGGCGTCGACATCCTTTTGCTTCTGTATCTGCCGTGCGCTCATACCGCGCGCCATCTGCCCGATCTTCTTTTCCGCCAGGGCCGCCTCCCTTTCCTGAGCCGCCCAAGCGCCTTCATCGCCGAAGGGGTTGTGGCTGTCATCACCAAACGTGTGACCGCCGAGGTCATCGTCACCGCCGTACCAATCTCGGTCGAGGGCATTGGTTGCGTCGTCGTCGTTTACGCCGGGTTTGGGGCCGTCAAACTCGTTCTGCCGAGGTGTCTCTCCGCCACCATATTTGGACCCGACACGAGGGGTGGAAGCTCGGGAGTTCAAGGACCCATTGTTGCCATTGGTACCCCTAGAGCCCTTGTGTGGCGCGCGCGACGGGAGATCGGAGAAACGGTCATCGGAGCGAAGTGGGTTGAAATCGATCTTTCGTCGTTTAAAGGACCGGTCGTCATCATCGTCGTGACCCATCGTAGCTGAGTTGTAGATGTGCGGGATGCCAGCAGCCCAAAGTGTTGCGTGGAAGAGTCGGTTTGCGATGGTTTGTTGACATGGGAAAACTTCCCGAGTACCTCGCTAACAACAGGACAGCGACCAGAGTCCAGACAGCAGCACCTTGCTTGGCGTGGACCACTGCAACGGTGGACTCTGTGTCTACGATAAGATAAGCCCCGCCATACGGCCCCACTAAAAAGTCCAATTTCACTGGCAAAATCGGTCAGGTCGCGTAACTAAAATTTGCCCGTAACTTTCGCTGTCTCGTCCTGTTACTGCCGCCCCGTCGCAACACTCAGCACCTGGAGAGTTGGACCTGTGGCCCGCAGCACCACTTTTTACCTTGGTTCTTTTTTTACCGGCAGAATTTTGCTGCTTTCCTCCCGCAAACCGTGCTCGACATATCGCCCTTACTGTCGCGACAATGTCTATGATCACGACCACCGCCTGGGTGCCGCGAGGCTTTGCGGCGCCCTTCCCCACGAAGTACACCTTCGACGAGGAGGAGTTCGAGCGCATTGCTGCCCTGGCCAAGCTTCAGCTTGACGATGCCCAGGAAGACTTGGACGAGGCCAAGGCGAAGGAGGATGAGGATGCCATGAAGGTCGACACTCGTGACGAGTATGTGCCGGCGGCTATTTATCCCGATCTAAGGCGCAACGCTAACTGGACCTTGTAGGATCGAGATCGACGACGACCTTAAGGAGTACGACTTGGAGCACTACGACGATGACGATGACAACGCGGCCGAGGCGCAACAAATGGGCATGTTCGGCAACGTGAAGTCGCTCGCCTACTACGAGTCTAACAAGGAGGATCCGTACATCACGCTGAAGGAGGAGGAAGAGGACGACGAGGAACGCGAAGATCTCCAGATTCTGGCCACCGACAACCTCTTGCTGGCCGCCAAGATCGAAGACGAACTCGCCCATCTCGAGGTCTACGTTTACGAAGACGCCAACGACAACCTTTACGTTCACCACGACATCATGCTTCCCGCGATACCACTATGCCTCGAATGGCTCGATATCCCCGTCAGCAAGCCGAGCGTCGACAAGGATTCTACTGGCAACTTTGTCGCCATCGGCACGTTCGACCCCGATATTGAGATCTGGGATCTCGACACCGTGGATTGCATGTACCCCAACGCCATCCTGGGTCAGGGCGGCAACCCCGAGGACGAGAAGAAGAAGAAGAAGAAGAAGAAGTCCAAGAAGGCCAACGACGAGTACCACGTCGATGCTGTCTTGGCCCTCGCTGCCAACAGGAAGCATCGCAACTTGCTAGCGTCCGCCTCTGCCGACAAGACGGTCAAGTTGTGGGATCTCCACACCACTAAGTGCGCCAAGTCCTACAGCTACCATACCGACAAGGTGTGCTCGCTAGCCTGGCACGCGGTTGAGTCGACAGTGCTGTTGTCCGGTTCTTACGACCGCACCTGCGCCATTGCTGACATGCGCGCGCCCAATGAGGCGCCCATGCGTGTGGGTGTTGAGAGCGACGTCGAGAACGTCAGGTGGGATCCTCATAACCCGAACTTCTTCTACGTCTCAACCGAGAACGGTATCATCCACTACTTCGATGCCCGTAACGCCACCAAGGATCCTGCGGTTAGCAAGTCTGTCTGGAAGCTCCAGGCTCACGACGAGTCTGTCTCTTCGTTCGATCTCAACCCCGTCATTCCCGGATACATGGCTACGGGATCTACTGACAAGACCGTCAAGCTGTGGAACATCAGTGCTGAGGGTCCTTCGCTCGTGGTGTCCCGCGACTTTGACGTCGGCAAGGTCTTCTCGACAACATTCGGTCCCGATCCCGAGGTTGCCTTTAGACTTGCGGTTGCCGGTAGCAAGGGAACCGTTTCCGTCTGGGATACCTCCACCAACGCTGGTGTCCGCAAGTTCTTCGCTCAGAAGGTGCCTACCAAGACCACTGAGGAGGAAGTTGAGGACAAGCTTGTTGGCGTCAACGACGTTGAGGACAGCAGCAGCGAGGACGGCGAGGATGATGATGACGAGGATGACGAGTCCGGTTCTGATCAGGACTCGATGGAGGAGGATGAGGAGTAAAGTGCGGGATGTATGTGTAGCTTAGGTTTGGAAAAACTGGTGTTACGGGATATGAAAAAGGGTGTCTGTCGCATACCATCAGCTGCCTTCTCACTGTCTGTTGACTTTTCTTTTTCTTTTGGCGGTTATGGGATCTTGGTGGCGTACCGGTTACTATATACAAGAAGGGTAGAAAGTTCAATCTTCCTATGATAACAACTGTCCGTGGAACTACTCACGCTGCAGCCATGTGTGACTTCAGAATCCGTTTAAAATAATGGCCTTGTGAGTTACGGAGGGAGATGTTGAGTAACTCGATAGTGACTGCAAACCGCATGTTATTCTTAGCAACGTGCTGGGGTTAGATCATTGACCCCGGGCGCCGTTGTTCCGCCCTTCTCGAGGGATGCCTTGGAATTTGCAGAATAACGCCGTGTACGAGATGATTTCTTAGGCCGTCGAGAACCATTGGAAGTTCGAGTCCCAACAAGCAGCAGCAACAAGAGGCCGACAAACACTTTCCGATCCCCAACATCGATTTCCGCCATATCAACCTGAGTCTCAGTCGGTACTTCTCCCACATCCGTAAACGGGTATATAAGGTAGCCAACGCTATTTGGCCGACTTCCAACAACCCCCAGCTGTTGGTTCCACCGTTGGATTCCTATCTGATCCAACCGGCCGGGGCTACCGGGTCGGTAAAGGCACTTCTCCCGCGTTGGTCTTTCCGGTATTCAATCATGGCTCGTCATTCCTTGAACAAGCGTCGCAGGGAACATATGCTGCCCGGATATCATGCTGTTTCCGGCAACATCTTTTCAAGCGATTTTTTTCCCACGATAGGAAGACCTGTTCAGTACTTTTGCGTTCTCGCTTTTCAAAGACCGTAGGCCATACGTGTAGCATAAGTCACTTCAGCTCGGCACAAGCTGAGTGCGCCGTATGTGACACAAAACCGGGAGGTATCTTGCATTATGCTGTGGACATTATCTGCACAGCTAGCCAGCTGCTCATGTCTCTCGATCCGACCCGATTTACCAAAGAAGAAATATGCTTGCGGAATAGAGGGCATGTTTTCATATCTGTCGACAGTCCGTTTGACGATGGTCGTTGTCGAAGATGATGAATCCACAGTTCACCGACGAGGACAAGGGTAGGCTGTCTATGCAAACGTATAAGCTACCTACATTTGAGGTCCTTTAAAAACCCCAAGAAGCAGCAGCCGAACATAAAATGCCCTTTCTACACTAACCATCACCAAGAACTTTACTGTCTGGACAACCTCAAAAGGCAAAACGAAGGCCGTTCTCGAAGCAAAAGTATTCCAATGCGGAGAGAAACAAGACTCCAATCAAGACCCTGTCCATCATCTTTAGCGTCGTTTCAAATGCAAGGAACAGGCATCGCCTTGAAGTTTCCACTGGATCCCTCGCCATCGCTGAGTGGACGGAAGCGCGTGGGGCGTTCCTAGTGTTGCATGGACCTGGGGTCCTTGGTGGGCCATCCGCAATGTCCGCGGGGCGTTGACGATTTCCCGTTTTTGCTCTTTCGGGGATGAACGACCGCTGGACTTGCTCCGAGTCCGTTGACTGATGGGTGGATGGACGGAACTCGTCTTCTGACGGGAGCGAGGGGAGGTGGTCAGTAGACACGGCATGAGTGTTTGAAACATGCGGCAGTGCACAAGAGGAAGGTTGGTTCTATGCAACCCTCGCTGTTGCCTCACACACTGATCAAATCACAGATGACATTGAATGAACAAGAAACCATTAGATCTGATGTGGTTTCAAACAATCATCGTCGCTCTTCAATAATATGAAAGGACTCCCCCAACAAATGCATAACGTTAGGGTCGAATTAAAATTTCGATCTAGGGTAAATGGTCCTTTCTGAGCGGGGGCTAGCTTGGTCTCGTGGAGATGGGTGAGGATGACGGACAGAAACCTTGTTGATGGGTCCAACCAGCAAGCCCGGCCGGGATGGAGCAATCTACCGCGAAGCGACAGAGACAACTTTTCGGTGAAGCACACGGGTACTGCAACAAAGCTGTCTAAATCCCGTCAACGTGAGCGTCCATCATCTGTGCATAGTGTGCTTGCGAACGTTCCCATTCGCTCTGGAAGTTTCCTAGTGCTGCCTCTGGCTCCGATTCTCGTTGAAAACTCTAAAAACCTACCATCTTCCGACGTCCAAAAAAAGGGGTCGCCGGCGGCACTCCAGGGTGGCACGGGTGGTTGAAGCGACCTTCCGGATTCCCATTGGTGGGTTGCAGGGAGCTCTGACCAAATGGCCAACAAGAGACCGCAAATAAAGTTTGTTGACCCACTGGCCAAGACACGAGCATGGTTCCTGGATGGACACCTTGTCGCTGGATGGGTCTCTCTGGGGCCTCTTGGACTCTTTAGAGGCCACATGGGGGCAACCAATCCGCTCAATCAGCATCCTTTTGTGCCTTTTTGCCGGCATCGAGACTGCATTTTCGAACAAGAAAGAGAGACGAACGAATCCTCCAACATTCCTGGCCGATCACTGCGACGCCCGTCGTGGTAGCGCACCTGTCTGTAAGGTAGAGATGTAAGTACCACCACGCAGGAACGGCATGTTTCAATGCGTATCTTCACGTAAGAGTGACATGAAGAACCGTGCTCAAAAACGGCTTATACACAGGTAGGAGATACTTCCAAGAAATCATCATCTCTGGCAGCCGGATCCAGGTAACCTGACGTTACAATCGACGGCGTCTGGCCCCCGCAGTTTGTTCTTTTCCTGGCCTTTTTCCCCGTCCCGCCAGTTCAGGCGTTGCAATCCTTTTATTGACGAGCCATTTTGGGAAGACGTTTGTCCGCTCCTTGCTTTTCTCTTCGTCCCTTCCCTTTTCTGCCCTTTCTCTCCACGCAACTTCCTTCCTTTGAGAGAACTTGTGTCCTCATCACGCTCCTTCGTTGACGGGATATCCTTTCGAGAGTGAGAGCCTCATCTTAGATCAGGTGTCCTTGTTCGGACTCGAGAAGCGGATTCTATCCCACCACATTCATTTCCCTCATTTGGTTTGCAGTTTCGTACCATCACGCCTTCCTTTCCCAACAGCAACAGTATATCCTGTTTAGGAAGACACTCCCTACTTCCAACAGGACTGCCCATACATCGGGCCGCACTACGTGCCACTGACAAACGGACGAGTTCGACGCATAAAGAACTCGAGTTTCCAACGACACGGAATATCTACAAAGACCATAAAGGACAAGGACTTGGATCTACGACGTACCCTAGGCTGTACAGAACAATACATGCTCTACATAGCAGCATTTTGAATCACGCACATACAACGACCCGTACTCCCGGATTGATTCCGTTTCCGCCTTTCTTATAGCAAATACCGATCTTTATCCCTGGTTGACATCACATCTGTTGTTCATCCGAGCTTTTAAACACCATCAGGTCGCAGCAGCTACCAACGTTGGGTTTTGGAACATTCAGTCTCATATTCATTTCTGCATCGATCAGGCATCGTTGCAATCGGCTTCACTTTTCGATCACCGGTACCCTTCACCGCGGTTCAAACCAGTCATCTGAGCTCGAGCCGAGACACCCCAGAGAGGCAAACGTCACACCTTCGCCCACCACTTGTTGGACAAGCTACCCTGGAGTTATCCGTCCTTCACTAATAACCACCCGACCGTTTTTTGGGTTGGCCTTACGCCTTCCCTTTTTCAGAAGGCCTCGACAGAAATCCTCTGAAGGACACGATATTCACCTGGATCTCAGCACTGCCTCTTATTCCTTCAAGTCCGTGAATTGAACCAGTTTTCGAGATGGCTTCATCTATCTCACGAGCGTTCACGACCCGGCGGATCAAGCAATTTTCCCAGTCGTCCGAGCCCGACCACCCGATCCAGCCAAGAAGCAACCTCCAGAAAGTGTCGATGGCCAACTTGCGCCATAAGATCTCGGCCCCTGTCAAGCTCATCCACACCACCAACGTGCTGGCATACAATGCGCCAGATCTTTACCCCCAGTCTGCTACTTCAACCAAGTCATCATTCCTCAAGTCCGACGACGACCTGTCCGACAGCGCAAATACTCAAGCTTCATCTCCTCCCACCAGCCCGGATATCGACCAGGCCCCGGATCGCTGCCTGTCTCCAGAGCCGAATCACCTCTCATGCTACTTCACAACTGAGAACTCGACGACATCTCCAGTTGCCACTCACAAGCCATCACCGTTGACCGAGGCCCCTTTCGTCCCCTCGCGCGCGCCTTCCCACACCAAGAAGTCCTACGATTCGCGAGTACGTGAGCAGTCAGTCGCAGGAAGGAGCTCGGTACAGTCGCAGCGCACAATTTCGACGAAAGCAAGCTTCAATTTCTCCCAGTCGCGATCAAGGAGCACCTCGGTGTCATCAGTCAGCACCCCGGCATCTCCTTCATCCTACCAAAAGAAGCGGCCTCAAATCTCGGTCCCTCCCACCGTCAGCCAATACTCGGTTCCCTCTGCTACAGCTTCGCCCGCTTCACCGCCGAGGCAAAGGTCCCAACGACAAGCCGAGATCGTCGAGTCGCCAGCTCGCAGCCACAGGGCAGAGTTCTCGCAGTCTCACCACCCATTCGGACAGGAATTGGCCCAGGTGACCGAGATCGCCGAGGAGTATGGTGTGAAGGAAAAGCTGAACGAGTTTGCGGTGGAGGAGCAGGAGATGGCGGCTATGGGACTGTGCAGGTTCAGCGCCGATGATTACCTGAAGGAGATCAAGGGGTTCTTCGTCACTTTCTATGACGTCGAGCCTATCGAGCCTGTCACCCCGGTGGCTGCCTCAGCTGCGGCTCCGGCTACTGCGTGGATATGATGCGCTTGGTGAAGTACGTTTATGACGATTCTGGGTGTTATCATGAGGACACCTCAAATCAGGAAAGGTGTCGAGCTACGATAGACCTCCTCAGCCACTATATGGGCCAGTTCCAAGATCAGCCTCATTCGCAAACGAACAGTGTCCCTTGGGCCTGTCATACTCAGGGCTAGTCGTTATACTTCATGTCACTCTTTTCAAAACCATTACCCACAAGGGCTTTTCAAGAGAAGGTGACGACAGATGGATGGATGCATGGAAAACGGCGAAACGGCCATGGGAAGGAAGATGCTATGTCATGTTACTTTTTATGTTTTTTCTATGTTGTACATTATGTGGAATCGGGGGTTTGGGGCGGTTGGCGGTCCAGCTTTGGTTTGATGTTTGATACCTCTTTTGCTCGTGCGCCGGATAGTTGATCTTAAGGCGTGGGAATATTCTATTCTTTCTCTTCTTTTCGAAACTTGAGACCATATTGATCAATGAACTAGTGTCATATTGGTATAAGTAATGTACGTTCAACGCGTGGAATCAAATGCAGGGGAAATACGCTTGCGTATACGGCACTCGTACCCAGGTCATCGTCACTGTTTCGTTCGTCATAATCATACCTTGGATACTTTCTAGAACACAGCTCTTACGCATAATGAGGCATAACTCGAGTAAAGATCTTGAAACAGATGCATATGGCCCTGATCGCAGTCGAACAGCCAGGCCGGCTTGGACCACAACCTTCAAAAGCCCCCGGAGCAGCGGAAGAGGTCCACATGACACCGGAGGGCCGGCTCGGGCCTGGACTGACAGGATTCGCGCTGTCACTGCACAGGTCCCGTTCATGCATGACGATCCGTCATAGTCTTCATTCTTGGCTGTTGGTCAATGTCCACGGCGTATTTTGTCTTTGGCCGAGAAGTATTTGAATGGCTATGATTTGGTCGGCTATCTGCAGATAATCATACACAATGCCAAATCAAAGTTGAGGTAGACAACACGCAGTGTCGATTCTGTTCTCGTCTTTCAGTGACGATGTTTGTGGGCTTGGACTTGTGTGCATTCCTCTGAAGGGTTAGGGTTGTGTACCGGTAAGCTCCCGACTTGGCAATTCCATTACATACAGCGCCTTCGCCACCGCAAAGGAAATGTCAAGGGAAGTTAATTCTTCTTTATCCATCCAACAACATCACGTCATACCGATTTCAAACCCGGCATTCGCGTTTTCCCCTTTGCGAACGACATTAGAATTACGCGAAATACCAATTTCACTATGGACGACACCTCTGCGCCCCCACCAGAATCGACCACCGCGCCAACAGCAGAACCCGCCGCTGCTGCACCACCTCCAGTTTTCTTCCGTGCCGGCAAGAAGAAGAGAGCCTTCCGTCAGCGAGCCGATGAGACGGACGCGGAGCCAACAGTGCAGACAGATTCATCGGCGACCATCAATACCAGCAACGATTCGACAGCCACAGGCCAGGCTGCTACTTCATCAACCGAGCCGGCAGTTTCTGGGACAGTTGCCACGACGACGACTACAACGATAACAGCAGCAGCGAAACGCGATGAAGATGTTAAAGAAGGCGGCGGTCTGTCCGTAGCGGAAGTGCTACGGCTTCGGAACGCGAAGAAACACAGACTAGGCGGCGTCGCCTTCCGAGCTGGTGACGAGTCCAGCCCGACACCGCAGAATGCCGAGCAAGCGATGGTTCTACACGACGGCGCCGGAAATGGAGGAGGAGAAGTGCAAAAGGCTGCGATTCTCGGAGGAGTCGCCGAGCGCTTTGCGCCGCAGACCGGTATGGTCGGCGAGCTAGTCAACAAACACATGTGAGTACTACCATTACATTGTTGGGAAACTACGTCCTTTTCCGAAGGCAGCGGCTGATCAAGCAAGGGAGGAATACATAGAATCCGAGCTGGCTAGACGAAAGCGGCTCGCCGCAGAACACCGGGCACAGCAAGAAGGAGGACAGAACGGCGGCGGCAGCAGCAGCAGTAATGCGACGACGACTGGCATGACGAATCTCCTTGCGGCCGATCCGACGCTGAGCATGGGCGGCGGAAAGGTCGAGTCTCAGCGAGCTCTCCATGGCAAGCTGATGGAGATCGATCTCGGCGAGGAAGCGCGCGCTCGCAATATTGCGGAGACGGAACGCGCGAGACGCCGGCTCGAAGGCCAGATCCTGGAGGAGGAAGAGGATGCGGATGGGCGTCGCAAGAAGGTCCGCCTTGGCCCTGACGGAAAGCCGTGGCGGTCGAGGAATCGCAGGGATAGCGACGCCCTGAAGCGGGATCAGCAAGTGGAGGAGTTTCTACGCGAGAACAGACGTGAGTTTATGCCTTTGCTATCATCTGTTAATCAACTGCGAATGCTAACTGCGGCTATAGTGGACGTTTACGACGTGCCCTCCGACCAGCCCGAATATGCCACCAACATGGACGACGACGAGATGGCCGCCGACGATCGCATTGCCGAAGAGTTCCGGCGCGACTTCATGGACGCCATGTCGCAGAGACACCGGCGCAGAAGACCGGCTGTCAACGCCACCGCCAGGCCTTCGGCCAGGAACCAGGACGCCGAGATCCTCAAGGGTCCCAAGCTGGGCGGTAGTCGCAATGCCAGAGCGGCTATGCGGGAGAAGTTGCTCAGGGAGCAGGAGCAGTCGAAGAGGCGCTGATGATTTTCTTCTTCAAGACTGGTACTATGAATATGCTTACGCGAGTTCTGGAAGACGAAGAAAAGAGTATGCTTACCATCCAACACACAAAGAGTTCAGGCTTCACATACGATTCATGGCCGGAGAGCCTGCAAAAGGAAGAGAGAGCATAGGTAGTCTGGCACTCTGGAATCTGTAGCTCCGGTCCTAGCGGGCACTTCAGGTATGTATTATGTATCGTGGAAGCAGCGGCAGCGGTTACGAGCAAGCAAGCGTCGTCAACATTAGCGCCCGGCGCTTGGGTGGAGGAGGTTTAATAGTTTGTTATCATGGGTTCACACCCGCGACATCTCAGTTATCGTTCTGCAGGAGTTTGGCCTACTCGGTCACTGCATGTGTAACGAGGCGGCGTCGACTTGGTGAACATGGGCTCAGTCATGATCCCGTCCTGTCTCTTCCGTCACACAACCACCTGCTCAGCGGCTGTGTTATCTTCCCTTTCACGGATGGAGGAAGCGGCGGGAAGGTGCAGTATCTTGGCTGCAAATTTCATAAGTTCCACGTGTTGGTTTGTAGTAGCCAGCTAATCAATAAAGCCGATGGCAGTTATGAAGGCAATGATCACAAAATGGTGATGGTGAAGCCCACACTGCGTGTCCACGACATGAAATGAATAGGATCAGCAAAACCACAACACCCCACCTCCACTCTTAAACATAAACTCGAACCCCGACGGTGACCAGTCAGCCGCACTCCTTGGTGCAGTTGACAGTGCTCACAAGCCTCCTTCACGGTGCTTCAAGCCATCCCTTTTGCACTGGCCTCGGATGCTAGTACATAGCCGTTTTACTACAGTGTAAGGATCTTCACAGCCGGTTCTCGTCTGCCTGGCCTACGGCGCGTTCAGTACTCGGAACAGTCTCTTCTGCTCTGTCCTGTTCACATCTGCTTTTGCTTCCTCTCTCAACTTTCCGTAGGTACATCTTCGACTGTGGTACGGATAGGTATGTCATACTAGTTAATCAATCGATTAATCAATCCATCTCTCTGTTGTGGAAAACACTGAAGTAAGTAATAAGAACTAGACACGCAGTTCGCAGTCTATGTCATCGAAACGGAGTCGGACAACGAATCGCTTTCTCTCTTGGCGCCAACAGTCCTCCTGCGGCGGTTGAGGTTAAGGTTGCGGTTGCGACTCGACGTGCTACTTGCTACTTTGCGAATGGAGGGGCACAGCCGAACTGAACGGCGGGAAAGGATACTAAATCGGGTGCTGGATGTGTGTGTGCTTCTCTCTCTCTGCTGTGTCGGCTATCACAAACCGAGGAGATAGCCGGTGTTTGTGTAAGACTGCTTGATCCTGTCAAACAGAATGAGTGAGTGTCGGTTATATTCGATAGCTGAAGACCGTTCGTCGACTCTAACAGCCCACCAAGGCTAAAGTCGCAATGAATTCCCAATCCAGCTAAGCACTGGTGGGGGAATGTTGTCGATCACTAGGAAACAGCGTTTCATGGGTTATGGATATGTGAGTGATACCTACCTACCTTACGATTTTTATGTGAGATTGGGGAACGACGAAAGAGAGAGAAAGGAAACTACCAGGCTGCTGCGCCCACATACATACCCTAGGTATGGTAAAGAAAGGAAGGAGAGGAGGAAGAAACGAAAGCGCAATCCTGGCAGTGCCTCTTGCCAAAGGTCATCATCTGTCGGGCAAGTGGCACACACATTTCACGCTCGTCGCCCGAGTGTTGATGCAGTGTACCGAAAATTGAGACCTCTTCTCATGAAGCAGACCGAAACAAACATGGCAGGCACAGTGGCACAAGGGGGATAAGAGCGAAAGCTAAACGGGTAGGTAACTGGCTCAAGTGACCGAGAAAGAGAAGACAAGGGGAAAGAGGGCAAACGGTACTCTCGAGAGAGGATCTCTGAATCCTTCTCATATCCCACGGAAGACTGGCATTGGGTGAATCGATCTGACACTTGTTGTCCCCATTGATTCAGCTGAGTGGCCTTCCATCCCACCATTTTTATCATTTTGATGACTTTCCTTAGTTTTCTTCCTTCCCCTCCTCCTCAACCCCTTGCGAGTGTCGGGGTGTGCTTGATGTACAATCCAAGCCACTGCACCAACAGGCTACACTAAGCAACAGCCCGTCCCAGCCCAGCCCAATCCATCCCGACTTTTCGTTGGCCCCCCGCCGCGTTTGTGGCCTGGCCTGGTGGTGTTTCCTCTTGGGAGTTCTCGTTTTCCTATCATATCATCCTATCCTGCCTATCCTTTGCTTTGCTTGCCCCCCTGTGGCCCTGTCCCACACATTATTTGTCTGTGGATGGGAGGTGTTGTACTGTTGTACATACATCCAATCCATCCAATCCTCCTATACGGATAGTTGCTCCTATCCCAAGTTGGTATTGGTGCTTACTCCCGGGCCTCGTTCGCTCTTGCTGCTGCTCCACAAACCCCGTCCTTCTGTCTTACTTACGCACGCCTTCGCATCCTTTCCTTCGTGCGCGGTTCTGCGTGGGTTGTCCACTTTCTCTCACTTCTTTCTTTCTTTCCATCTGGCATCTTTTCAGCTGCTGGCTGTTCTCTTGACGGTGTCAATATTTCTGTCTCTAACCGGGGCCGGCATCAACGAAGACGGAAACGACAAATAGTGATGCGTACATCGATAACTACGAGGCGCCTTTCCTGAAGAAGCGACAATTCCCACGAGAGGCTCTGAGACTCGGAACCGATCAGGAAGGAAAGTCCTGGAGAAGAAGAAGTCGGTATATCATGCGAATAAGTGCGGTCAAGAGCTGGCTGCTAGCCGCACTCTCGTTGGCGAGGCCCGCTGCTTCACAAGATCCTCAAGCTGGTGCAGCTAGGGGTGTGTTTACGTTTAATCCATATCGAGGCTTCATCGACCCCAGAACTACAAACCTACCTGGAAAACCCGCGGTAATTGCACCTCCGGCAGATGGCATCGAATTCCAATGGAACATTACGGACAACGCCGAACTCAACGTCATCACTCTATATCACACCCCGAAAGCGACAAAAGACGAAATTAAGACGATGTCGATGCCGCTGGCGAGTAGCCCTGGTGTGAAGGATGAAACGCCTGATGGGTCTGCTCGAACCGGAGGTAACCCCTTGTCGTCAAATATTCCGCGTGACTCTCTCGGTCTTACAGGTAAGTCATACAAAACCCACTGCAGGAGTCTCCAAGATCCAGTCTATCATTACGTGTGAACTGGGCAAGGTGGAAATTGGATATTGATGCTGATCCAAGGGGATGCATGAACAGTCACTCGAACGTCTGCAGCAGGAGGCACATTATCAATCGATTTTATGTATCAACTTGTTGAAAAATCCCCGTATGGTAATTATTTGTATTTTGAAGCTGCTTGGACGCGGAACGGGAGGAACGGCAGGAGTTACAGTCGCCTTTTCAAAGTATTTTCAACCGATGGCAGTCAATCGGCCGCACTAACGGCAGCATACAATGATACTTTGCTCCAGGAGGGAAATCAGGGACCGGCCTTGGCTGAAGAACAGGACAAGAAAGACCCGACAGGAACAACTGGGACAAGCAAACCAACTAAGGCATCTTCTACCGATTCAGGGCCGGCCTTAGCCACCTCTACCAACACCAGCGGCGAAATCAGCGCCACCGCAACGTCCACCAGCTCCAACAGCGACAAGAAAGGTCTCACCATTGGTGCCATCGTCGGAATCGCCATAGCCTGCGGTCTCATCGGCCTCGCCCTCATCGGCGGCATCGTTTTCTTCTGCCTTCGCCGACGCCAGAAGCAAAACGCTCTCGGCGGGGGTGCCAACCGCGGCGTGCCTTACGGAGGTTTCGCCAGCGGCGTCGGTCGAAACGGTGGCGACGAGCTCATGTCCGAGAAGGAAGCTAACGCGGGCGTGATCCACGATGTGACGAGCTCGCCTAACTCGCCTTACTCTGATGATGGAAACCACCAACAACACCTCATAGGAATGGGAGGTATCGGCGCTGGTACCAGCAGCAGGAATAGCGGTAGTGTCGTTATTCCTAGCACTGGTTCCGGCATTGCCCCTCATGCTGTTCTGCCTGGAGTAGATTCAAGATTAGACGGGGATGGAGGTAGCCCGGTTTCGAACACCCCGTCCCACCACATGCAACAGCACGATCATCAATCTGGAAAGTCGTATACCATGTACTCTGATCATCAGTCCGGTGGAGGAGGAGGGTCGCCGACTACTTTGCACAGCGGTGCTGGCGGCGCACCATCGCTCACACATGGGGGAGCAGGCACTGAAAGCAACCGGGGTAGTCTGATCAGCCAGCAGCAGCAGGGCAGGAGCTCGTTGACGCCGTATGCTCACTTGATTGAGGAGGGGATGACGGAGGAGCAGATCAGGACATTGGAGGAGGAGGAACGTCAGCTTGATGCGGCGATTGAACAGCATGTAGGAGGGCAGCGGGGGTCTAGGAACCTATGAACGAACGCCTTGGAAGGGAAAAGATGGAGAGAAATGGCGGCTCGAGGAGGGGGTTGATATGACGAATCTTTGACGGTTTTATTCTTCATTGTTTATCTTGAGAAGTTGCATATATCCAGATCAATGATGGGTGATGCTAAATACCTGATGCTGACGAATGATCAAAATCTTTGATCGGTAACTCGAGTGTTAAGATGCCCAGGAGTGACTCGAAGAATGGGAATGCAACAAGGAAACTGAGAAAACATACCGTATCGTATCATCAGAGCACGAACTGGTTTTTTTTCTTAACGATCTCCGTAAAACAAGACAATGGACGGGCAACATGCGTTCTGAACACAAGATCCCAGATTTCGAAATAAGTATTTTGTGTCTTGTTCAGACGACAATCTTGCTGGCACTGAAACTAGAAGATCATCAACGGCAGACTGATGTGCCTGAGTTCCCTTCGCTGACGCCATTCCCGAAGCCTAACCTGTAATGCACATGAAACCCGGAGATAACGATAAATGGCCATTAAACATCCCCAAAGTGCGAATCTTCTACATGTTCCTGGTGTGAATAGTTCTTTTTTGAAAACTCGCTCAACCTAAACCCCGCTCCTGACTCCCGCATCACTCTTTCCGGTTACTCTCTACCTCGAGAAGAACCTCCCAACCATGTTGCTCGCGATATTACCAGCAATGTTGCCCGAGCTGAACGCAGTTCCAGCAATGTTGGAAGCCTGGCTGAACTTGTCGCACCTCGAGAACGCAAGCGAGTTGGTAATGGTCAGAACCAACGCAATAGCTATATCACCCCCCATCAACAACTGATCAGCATGATGCCCATAGAAACATAAAACCCGCAGCAACAACAGCCCTAGTACGCCAGTTAGATGTGAGGAAGAGAGAGGAACATACCAACAAGAGGCAGCCAAATGAACTTCAAGCTAAACAGCGCCACAATAGCCAGCACCACCCACAGCAGCGGCTGCGCATAGATGGCCAGCCAAAAGAAGCGGCTATCGGTCGCGTTGATGATCTTGGTCCCCGGCTCGCTGCTCTCAAATACCCAGTGCGAGTCGCCCGAGTTAGGGTCGACCTCGTTCCACCAGCGCAGGCCCACGAGTCGGCGGCCGGCAATGTTCTTGAGGTAGTAAAAGTCGCCGGCGAGGAGGAGGATGGTGATGATGAAGATCATGACGCTGTTGTAGATGGACCGTGGTTAGCTACCCGTTTCGTTTGTATGTTCTCATAGTCGATGGTCGTGGCACTTCAGGGACTCTTGGGTTCGCGCTCCTCCTTCGTCTGTGATTGTGTGGATGGGCAAGGGGGGCAAGTTGAAGATCAGACGCGATGGGCGTTTAAGCGGGCAGACGGGGTTGCTCTTACAGATTGTCGGTAAATAAGAGGCCAAAGAGGTAGACGAGAAGACTAGCTGTTGTTCGCGATCGAGGTTGTTAGCAATCGTCTCTTGCAAGCAGATATCGTGTACTCCGTCCTCCGTCTTCTCTTTGTATTCTTCCATTCGTCGTTCCCCCGTAGACCAAATCTTCCTATCAATCCTGACCGTAACGGCGGGTTGCTTCTCGACACAGACCTCGAGCTGTCGACAAAAGGAGCTAGGGAGAGGAACCGAGTGCACCTACAAGATCGGAAGGCGAGGAACGTCAGGAGCGTAATGGGATGTGAGCTCAAGCGCCAGCTCAAAGAGCCGGGGGTCGGCGTTGCTTCCATCATCGGTAGATAAGGAGGTGACCTGGTTCGGGTTCGAAGGTCGTTCGTCACAGTGTTTGTCGTCGTGAGGTTGTTTGGAGAGAGATCGATAAAGCCGTTCACACGATGCGTAACTGCGCATGGAGGTCAGAACACCTAAGCTCCACGCTGACAGACCGTATCAAACAGGAGCTAGGGTGCAGTAACAGAACCAACTACAGTTGGTAGCGCTACGAAGTACTGGACACCCGGCTTTGTCTGCAAAATTACTGTAACAGGGATGTACCTTTTACCCGGACCCCTGACTTGTCTGTTAATGCACTATCGTTGCCGCGTTTCCACTACGACAGGACTGATGCCGTACTGTTCTTGCGTACAAGGACAAAGCTTCCTGGACTCGAACACTGAAGAATATGATGTCTTCTTCCATATAGCTGTTCATGAGCCTTCCAAGCTACTTCTATGGATGCCGATGAGGCTCTCCGCGAATAGCCTCCAAGCTGCATCGGGAAGTACGGAGGCCGGTTAAGTTTAGTGGATATAGCGCCCCAGCCGACAGCGGCCCGAAGCTACAGCTCCGCGCCGGTGCTACGTCACATGCCACAATTTGACTACCATTGAGCTCAACTCCCCCTTCTGTTGACATTCTCCCCTTTTCATGAGTAAACGGGCTGTGGTCACTAATTGAGATATCGTCGGCTCGATTATTTCACGCATTAACTTTTTTGAAAGTATTCTACATTGGAAAACCTGGTTGAGCCGGCACAACTCAAGAATCACCAAGTCGGGCAGTTCCGCTCGCAACAACATCCAGGCATACGACAGAGTCCACCCGTTAACTTGAACTAGATATCATGGCTACTTCTTCCGTCCTCCGTAGGGCGTTGCTATACGGTGTGGTCTATCTAAGAAAGAAAGCAAAAAGACTCTGTCACATACGGTCACTAACTCAGACGGTCTAGTTCCCGCGTCTTCCCAGAAGTTTATGACCAAGTCACTCTCCTTGGCTAGTGACAATATCACATATGATCTTGAGGACTCAGTGACTCCTGCAAACAAGCAGACCGCTCGCACACAACTGCGCGACCACCTGTCTTCACTTTCGAACAAGCCGGCTTCCATTGGAGAGCTTGCTGTACGCATCAATGCTGTTTCGACCCCCTATGCGCTTGATGATCTAACCACTCTCGCAAGCGCTCCGAACCTCGACGCCATTGTTATCCCAAAGGTCAACAGTGCTAGCGACTTGTCCTTCGTCACCGATGTCATCCGTCACGCAGCACCCCAGCGGCATGCTTCAGATCCCACGGCACACCCTCTCAAGTTGATTGCCCTGATCGAGTCAGCCAGAGCGGTGATGGATCTGCGCTCCATCTGTGCTGCGTCGCCGTATCTGAGTGGCCTAATTTTTGCTGCTGAGGACTTTGCCTTGGACCTCTCCATTACGCGAACACCAAGTTTGGCCGAGTTCCTGTACGCCAGAAGTGCCATTGTGACTGCAGCCAGAGCATATGATCTCCCAAGTGCCATTGATCTTGTCTGTACCTCGTACAAGGGCCCAGAGGGTGTAAAGCGGCTAGAAGAGGAGTCTCAGAATGGCAAAGAAATGGGCTTTAATGGAAAACGTGAGTTACCCATTCTGAAGTCCCTTTCCTCATGGCGACTGTACTTATGTAATGGGTATTCCTCACTAACACTTTGGCATAACAACAGAATGTATCCATCCTAGCCAGGTAGAAGTGGCCCAGAGATTGTTCGCCCCAGGAGAGGCCGAGGTTGAGTGGTATGTTCGTGTCCTTATTGGCGATGACAAGGCCTCTGCAGAGGGTCGAGGTGCTTGGACCTTGGATGGAAAGATGATTGATGCTCCTGTGGTTGGAAAGGCTCGGGCCGTAGTTGACAAGGCCGCAAAGTGTGGAATGGACATTGAAAGCATCAAGGCGAAGTGGAAGAATCAGAAGCCGGAATGATGGCTTCTACAGGGACGGGCCACATCTCAGAACCCGCTCGGATCATTCCACATCCTCGGTAGCCGGGCATCTTGATCCCCTATACCCTGCTCGTAATGGTCTAGTTCGAAATATTCAGGGTCCTGGACCTGGATATGTGCGGTGTGGGTTGGAAGTGGGTGCTGACCGTACCACGCGGTGTCCGGAAGAAGCATATCATTGCCATCGGGATATGAACCAAGGCCGAGCTGCTGCTGCTCCACACTTTCAGTCAGGTCAGGATTACAAGGCTGTAATTCATCCATTTTTTCATTGTTGGTGGGATTTTGCAAGGCTTCTTGCTCGATCCTGTTGATGTAATCTTCCATGCTCTCACGAGACGGTTCCTGTGTAGGAGCGTGCAAAGGCTGGGTTGAAAGGCATCCAGGAAATCCAGGAATATTATCAGCAGCAGGCCGCAAGGGGGTTAGCCGGTGAGAAGGCATCGCAGCCTGAATTCTGGAAGGAGGGAGGAGTTGCGTATAACGGCCGACCGCTTGCCGAGCAGAAGGCTCCTGGTATGTTTGCCAGCTTTCTTGGATAAGCAAGTTATTCGCTACTACAAATGGTTGAGAGATGAGCCTATCCTCCGCATTGCAAGTAGCCCAGGCTTGTGGTGGAGGCTGGGAATGTGGCCGCGGTGGTGGACCCATTGACCTTGCTGCTGTAGTATTGGGAAGAGGCTGCCGCTGCTCATCCACAGGCCTTTTGTTCATATCCGCCGACGTCATTGATTCTTCGGCCAGCATGGACACACGTTGTTTGAGGTTTCGGTTGTCATCCGCTGTCATAACTGCAGAATCTCTATACTGGGGTATTGGCCTTTTTGCGTGTTGGCGATTTTGAGCAGTTTCTGCATCAAAAGATGTTTGGACCTGAGCATCCTTGTATACTATTCGTTTCCGTGGATGATGCTCTACTCTCGAAGTTGGTCTGATTTTTAAATCCTCCAAAACCACATTAGGGCTCTGCATTTTCCGCTCTAGGAGGACATCCTTCCTAGCAGAACTCTGCAAGTTTCTCTGTGGTCTCTCCGATGTGGAATAGTCGGATGCTGGCGCCCTAGGGTTTGGATCTCTGTCACTTATTGACCATGTGAAGTACGTCGTGGATCTGCTGCTCGGATGGGTCGGTAGGATATCTCTTCGATCATCACGTCGTGATGAAATACTAGAGCCTGGCTGGTGGAAAGACGCGTGCGAAGGCTGTCTGGTGGAGGCGATGCTTCTACTAGGCTGGAGTGAAGTGGTAGGGGAATTATGTATTTGTTGCTGGCGGGCAACAGAAGGAACGTGTCTGGCCGCAATCTCATGGCGCGGTTCTCGACGAGTCCGGTGGCGTATTTTTTCAGCTTCGGCTCTTCCACTGTCGGCCCTCCGTGTGAAGAATGCAGACAACTCCTCCAGTTCCTTATCCTCCGCCTGTTGTTTTCGGCTTCTTAATCTCGGCTCCACAGCTCTTGGGTTATGGTCAAGGTGTCTCGGTAAAGTTTTGATCTCCCTCGCTTTGGAGCTTTGATGATGGGGAGGGCTGTGGTCGGCTCGATGGACATGATTGTTTGACCGTTGCTGTGACTGAACAATATCAGTATATCAACATAACTAACGATCATACAGTCACCCACCACATGTTGATATTCACCCTGCTTGGGTATTTGAACACCTTCTAAAGACCGATTGCTGTCCTCGCGGCAATGTTCTTTAGTCTTCGTCCATCTCTTGTTTCGGTCTACCTCTGGCTTGTATTCGTATTTGTCAGGTCTCGTTTTGTGTCGAGATCTCTTTTCAAAGCGAAGAGCAACTGGGCTATGGGCTTCTCTTGGGTGCGCTGGCTCAGGCGACTCTGACCGTGTTCTCTTTTTCTTTTGACTAGCCTGCTTGACCATGTGCACTCGCGGCGAGATCTTTTCAGGTCTGTCCTCTGCAATCGGTTCTGGGGGACGGGCGCGAGTTGCTTGTGACCGCTGCAGCCATGACTGGACATAATCTGTCTTTCCAGGTTGGCTAGCGGGCACATCGAATTCGTCTTGATGGCGATGGCCTTCTTTGCTTCGCATCCTAGCAGACGTGTGGTGGTAATGATCGCTTCTCCCTTCGTGTCGATGACGAGCATGGTCCGATGTTCGACGTGATTCGTGTGGGTACTCGTCTCGGTCATGGTATCGGAAATCCATATGGCAGGTCGAGATTAACAAGAAAAGACGCCTGAAAGGCTTTAGCGATGGTGAAATACGGCGGGTAGAGTCCTGGTGAGCAAATGAAAGAGTTTGGAGAGCTGTACTCGGGTGAACATGTCCTAACCCCGAAGACAGGAAAGGACGGCGAGCGCCATCCAGGCCAGTGAGCCAGACGTGTGGCCTCTGAAGGAAGTACCTTTCATTTACGACGCAACTACGATGGAGATGTCTCTCGGCAGAATCAATCCCTGTCCTTGCAATTTCAGATAGCTAATATGTAATGTTGTATTTCCTTACTGTTCAACTCTTTGTGACACTGGAGGATTGAAGCTCACACAAGCAAATTTCGGTCATGATTGTGTCACGAAAGCAATGTTTTCCAATGGAGTGCGTTCCTGACCAAGATTGTATGAGTAATTTGGAAGGTGCTCACCAGTCGAGGTGTACCTATGGATCTGGAGGAATGAGCATTTATCCATATCTAAAAGCGCACCAGCGGTCAGATGTTTTGTCGTCTCTGAGTCGAGCTTGAACCGTATTCCCCTGGACATTTTGACAAACTTCAGTCATCGCGATAACTTTGAGTTAAGAAGACAGTGAAGAAAAGAGTCCTCGACAAAGTGTGAAAGAGTGCAAAAGGGTCCGGTATCCGCGTACTCTGTTGAATCCAATCGCATACCGGCCCCCTTTGACAAGCTCCTTCCCACGATATGATGGATCCGGATACAGTTACTTCCTGCAGGTATAATTAGAACAATCCGTTTACTAAGTTCTTGAATCGATTTAAGTGGAAGTCGACGCAATTGAAGCCTGCAAGATCTTGATGTCATGCACAGCACAATGCTCGCCGCATCAACGGTGTTGACGTTGTTGGTGGAGACCGGCAGGGCATCTTGCGACTCCACGAGATGAATCATGCAGCTGTTCAGTTGAGGCAGATCAGCCAGTAGGAAATGAGACCGAAGTGGATCTCACAGCTGACAACCCCGGCTGGCAAGGGAAGAGAATCTTGGCTTTGCCCCAGACCTCCACCTCCAGATCTCACTGGCGCGTCCGTTGGTTGTTGATGTTGATGCTATTCCCACCGTACCACCGAGGTTCTCACGATTTCTTCATGATATAATAGTGCCAGTGTGGCCAGATTATACGGTCAAAGGGGTCAATCAAGGACTTCCGGTATCATAGTCGAATAGAAGTCACCATGACTCCAGGACTCTGCAGTGAGCAACCTGCAGGTTGACAGCCGAGGACCCATCGTTGAGGCGAGGTTGAGCTCTGGGAAAGTCGACTGGAAATCCTCAGAAGCCTCGAGGTGAAAGACGCGAAAACCCGATAGCTCGGCCGGGTGTCTTATAAAGGAGCCCTGGAGTATCTCACGATTCACGTATCACCCAGCTCGTCAAAACACATATCGACTTATGAGCACCTGTAAAGAGTCTGTGTGCAGGATCGGTGTACGGAGTTAGAGGAGATGAGCACTTCTTTTCTCACCGGCCCTGAAGATAGACATTACTTTACACCCTGCCACATGCCTCTAGCGTCGCCGTAGTTCAGATCATGGTGTCGACGAGGTAGACCAGACATTCTCCGACTACAACGTGTAGACAACCCCGAAGTTCCTTTGCGCAAAAGCGTCGAATCTCATCCCATTTCTCCTTTAGGCACACCCTGCAGGCGACGAAACCGCAGTCTGACTGTCTTCCATCTCACGAGTATCAGAAATCCAAAGGAAGAGGAACAGAAAGCCATGGCCTGTTGGTCAGTTTGCTATACTGGGTTCTGTTGAGCGATTGCGGTTTGGAAGACTTCATCCGGTGTTGTCAAGCGGTCTCGATGTACCAGCAAAGTACTCTATCTCCATCTTGCCTCTGTCCCCACCGTTCCTTTCTGCCAGACCGGCCATAAAACACATTATCAAACTTCAATCTCTTCATCTCCATCATCAGACCACAGGCTCGGAATCCCTTCGCCAGCTGATGCTACTGTTTGCCTTCATGAACAGTCACAGCCCCCAATCTCAGGGACTTCTGCGATACCCACATGTTGCGTCACAGGGAAATCTTGGCAGCAAATTGGCAGTCCAAAGTCCCATTTGCAAAACCCCCCGTTTGTGTGTTGAGGCTGAATACAGTTTAGCGGGGAAATCTGGAGACTTCAGGGATCAAACAAGGGCCGGGCCCCTTTGTTGGACAGTCAATCGTTATCGATAAGATTTCCCCCACTTTTCCGGTGGACCGCTGTCCGCAGAATCAGGCTGCCCTGGTGACGGGATAAGGCGCTTGACCCCTCGATTTTGTTGAGAGTGGAGACCTGCATGACCATAGCCGTAGAGGTGTCTGCCGTCTGCCATTGACGGTCAGCAAGATGGCTTCAAGAGCCGAGAGGAAAACAGGAGGCCGTTTAGAGGAAGCTGAGTCGGTCTAGACGGGTTTGAGCGTTAGAAAACTGCTTTATCTTTGTTCCATCCCAACTCGGTCAAACACGGGCGAGGCAGGCTTGCAAGGGCGCCATTCCCATTGAATCGAGGGGTGAGGGGCGGGGGCCAAAGATGACGAAATGTGACCACGATGGCTGCCAGGGACGCGCTGTTCCTACAGGAACCCATGCACATTGCAACACCGATGAAGGTACCCATCAACTCAAGAAGGGGCAAAAGAGGCAGAGAGGGCAAATGGTTGAGACCTGAAGGGCATGAAGAGCTTTTCGGAGCTACCTAACTCTGCGTCCCCTAGCTAGAATTACCATCTGGGTTTAACAAAGCAAGCCAGCAAGTAGCCGTAGTCGGCGCAGCCTGCCCCCCGAGCCCCCAGTCAAAAACACGGGCATGCTGCTGAAGTTGACGAATTCTCTGTTTGATGGCTGTTTGGGCGCCTAACCGCGTTACCAAAGGTCACCTACCATCGCCATGCTGGTCGAAACAGGTCCTTGACATCAAGAACCCCGTCTCAGAGGGCCTCTGTTGTGTTGGGACAGAATGGCGGAGGGAGCGTGTTCGCGCCATCTCAAAAACATGGGACAAACAAAGACGGAGGCCATCAAGGTGACGTTATCTTGCTTTTTCAAATAGGGAACAACTGGTAGTCTCAATAGGTAAATGGGACGACTGACGCAAATCCCTGCGGGCTGTGTACTGGAGAACTTTCCTTCGATCTGCTTGGTTCCTCCTGCAATATAAACGATGTGGATATCCCGCCAACCAGCGCACCCTTACCAAGCAATCGTCCCAATACTACCAGCCTTGACCGACCAGCAGATTTACCTTGCCCCGCTGTTTACGGGGCGTTGTTGGTTTTCTTTTTCTTCCCCTACTTATTTTTCAAGAAGAACACGGGTCTGATTCCAATCTTCTTCCTTTCTCACAACTTTCACCATCTTCATTCACCTATCTGTGCCTATCCAAGCTCAGATCTACCATTCGTAAGTCGCGACTCCCATCTCTACTTCTATCAAATCATCGCCACGAGCGCGAATCACAGACTGTTGTTCAAATCAATCGCTTCGACCTGACCTCGCCTCGTACCTTCCGTCTTGCGGTCACGGCTGCCTCAGCAGGAACCGCGCTTCATTGCAATGATGTCGTGCGGCAGCTGCGCTCGAGGCAGTAGAGGCCTCGCCCGGATGCATCTCATTTGCGCTCTTCTGCTTCCTTAGAAGCATCAAGCAGGATCACGACGTCTAACCATTCGCAGATCTTCAAACCAAACTTCATACCACATCAACTCAGCAAAAATGGCTAAGCTTTTCGTCGGGTATGTATTCCATGCGCTGTGTCTTTCCATGGCACATCTTCCACATGCCATCATAGCTAACAATTCGCAGCGGTCTGTCTTGGAACACGGATGATAACATGCTCCGTGCCAAGTTCGAGGAGTTCGGTGCTGTTGAGGAGGCTGTAAGTTCATTCACCATACCCGCACTACAGCACGTGCTTGCCGACTCCGCCATGCAAACCATTACTAGTCATAACACAAGTAAGGATGCCCATGTACTAATTAAACCTTTTCGCTTCACTCAGGTTGTCGTCAAGGACCGTGATACCGGTCGCAGCCGTGGCTTCGGCTTTGTCCGTTACGCCAACGATGCCGATGCCGAGAACGCCATCGCCAACATGGATGGCCAAGAGTAAGTCCCCATCCGGAACATGAACATTGTGCGGGCGCTGACACTCCAAACTAGGTTCGATGGCCGCAGAGTCCGCGTCGATAAGGCCTCTGACCGCGCCGGCGGTGGCGGTGGTGGTGGCTTCCGTCAGGGTGGCGGTGGCTACGGTGGTGGCCGCGGCGGTTACCAGGGTGGCGGCGGTAGCTACCAGGGCGGCGGTAGCTATGGCGGCCAGCAGTACGGTGGTGGCCAGGGCGGCTACGGCGGCCAGCAGTCTTACGGCCAGCGTAGCTATGGCCAGGCTCCCCAGCAGGGCTACCAGGGCGGCCAGCAGCAGGGTAAGCAAGACACTCAACCTTCAACAAAACCTAACGAGAACATGATACTGATGAGATAAAGGATATGCAGCTCCCTATGGCTCCGGCTACCCTGCCGACCCTCCCAGCAGGGCCAGCAGTACCCTCCTCAGGGACAGTACTAAGCGGCGATTCGCGCCAAACCTCGTGCTAGCTTAAGATGGGAGAGTGCAGCGACCTGAACCAACAGGCGGCACATGACGCATCATTGCTGATCCTCAACTGTGGGTCAATGATTTAGAGCTTGTCTTCCACGGAAGCACATCTCGTGCGCCATCTCCCGACGGACCGAAACCGATACCCTACAGCATGTCTTCTCCAGATCAGAGAGCTGCTGAGCGACTTCTTGAACGCCGATACCGTCCGATTTTCATTTTCCTTTGGCATTGATTAATACCCCTTCTTCGTTCCCGACAAACGTGGGAACTAGTAATCTTGATTCCCATAGACGGCGAGGACGAAGCAAAAGAGCAAGCGGATGAAGATGGAGATGGAGGCTGAATTACCGGGTGGATAGGAACTTGTGTGGCTGGTAACGACGATATGACTTTGAATGATCTCGAAAGGCATGGGCATGAGCGAGGTATCGAAACAGAGCGATTTGCGGGCTAATAGAGCCAAATTTGCCAAAGAGTAGCGCGGGGAAAAGCTAGAGTGGTTGATGGAGGAGAAAGCATCTTCCCATATTTTTTCCTTTTCAAAAAAGAGTTTGCGGACTTCCTTCCGGGGATCTCTTCACACTACTTCCTTCTATGATGTCTTCTCGGTTTCCTCCTGCTCATCTACGCTGCCAGCTCTTCTGAATCGGTGGTGGTCTTCGTTGTCGTGTGTTGGTCCGTTTACCTTGACAACCCCGGTCGCGGTATGAATCTCATCGGTCGCGTCGGCCTTTCCCTCACTCTTATACCTCGCGGCCACCGCCCTCACCCGGTTCGACAGGTCCTTCACATGCTCGTCGCCGCTCTCGGGACTCAGCTCATCCAACGCCTTCTCTAACCCCCACAGATAATCCCGGTTCAGACCGCTCGGCCCTTTGCTCCGATAGATGTGTTCGGCAAGCTCCTGCGGATCTTGCGGCCCCGTAAACTGGGCGTTGTCAGGCGTGCCGATATAAACTAAGGTTTGGATGGGACCCTTGTGCTCTGCTGGTGGCAGCAGCGCAGGGTCTACGTCGGAGGCCGGGTGGAACGGGGTCCAGTGAATCGTGTACCCGTTGATCTCCCGGATGTCGAGGTACTCTTTCACTTCGGCAACGCGGTCGGCCTTGATTCGGTAGGCCACGCCCCAGACCTTGGCGGGTGCCGAGTCGTGGTGATCGGCGAGCGAGGCCCAGTAAGAGCGCTCGATCAGTGTAACGACGCGGCCCGGTGCGGAGGGTGTGCCGCGGTGGTCTTCACTGTAAGAAGGAGAGAAGGAGAGGGAATGGTTAGCGGTCTGATGGACACGTTCGGGCGAGATTAGAATAGGGCATGTGAAGAAGCGAAGACGGAAAGGTTAAAGGTGAGGATTGTGTGTGTAGGTATGTGCTCTGGGATGTGTCTATCACTCGAGGAGGGGAGATGAATTCTCAACATCACGACAGGAGGTTGGTCTCGGGTGTTCGGGTGGTTATGAAAGTATTTACCTGGCCTATACATAGTTAGCGTACGAAGTTAATGTGACAAAGAGCAGAAGTCACTCATAGTCACCGAGAGAAACCTTGAACTAGAACACAGAGGCCAAAGACGTACCTGCCAAAACCGGCGTACGTAACCTTCTACCCATCCAGGAATCCTTCTATCTACACCATATTTGACACTCGGTTAGTCTCCATCTACCTTGGACGCCAGCACAACGCTGCTCTGGGGTGTCACATGAGATTGATCTGAACTGAGGTTGCGGTATGGGGACCGGGCAAGGGGGAAGTATGTACCAAAATGTGGAGGCGGCTTCCAGATCAAACTCCTGTAAGACTCGGTTAGTTACCGTGACTAGAAAGAGACCCCAAGAGTCTCAAGGCGGTATGATCGGTGAGGCGGGTTTACCCATAGCCAAATATCCAGAACTCATCTTGCTTGCTTGGAGGTTCTTGGGCCGACATTTTTGCTTCTCCTGGAGGAAAGTTCTTGGGCGAGTGGGATCTACGAGCAACGGAGACAAACAGCTTTTGACCGAGCTCTTAAGAAGTTTCTGTTATCAAACTCTCTGGTGCCTACACGTGGTCGTTCATGAAGATCAAGTCTAAGTGAAGGGAAGCGTCGGAGTTGTGTGTTTCGGAGACGGAATAAAACCAATATCAAGGGTTAGGGGAATAGCTGTGTCACAGAGCTATCATCAAAGTAAGCCGCAAGATAGCATTGGCGGCATTCGGCACCCAAATCTCCGCATATAAAGCTCTTGCACTAACAAGCTGATCTACTATGCGATAGCTACCGATAACTGTATCTGGAGAAGGATCCTCCATCTCAATCGGGTCCTCTCTGTTTCATATTTCATTCACGAGCCAGCGATAAATCTAGTGACGTTTGACGAATACCTTTCCGTCTTCCGTCTTCTCAAATGACACCGGCTCGCGCGGCAGACGCTGATGTCGTTTTCTCCCTTGAGACCCTCATTGAGTGGTTTCCGTTCGAACCAAAGGCACGGAAAGTTATTCTGTGTCTTGATCGGCAGGCACCCGCTTCACGAAACGTGAGGTTCGGAAGTTGCACGGCTCCAAACACCTCAACACCTGTCAGCAACAATCCTCCGGCCTGAACTCGCGGTTCCGTTCGGTATAGCACCGCCCTGCTGCGCTCCCATCGGACTCCTCGCGCATGTGGACCTATGGTAACTCTGGATGGACCCAAGGGAGCGTTTGGACCAGCATTATGTAAAACACAACAGAGAGTTGTGTTCTTGAAAGGTCACAGTGCCATGTTGCAAGCACCGCTTCATGGCCCATGGTGACATTGCTGTGCTACACAGATTCAGCTACAACTAGATTCTCAGGATTAAGTGTAGCATTCACCGCGCCATACGCATTCAGGAAGACTGGTCATCATACAACTGCTAGCGACACCCAAGAGAAAGACGCTCCAACGCCCAGCCGTCCAAGCCTTCCTCGATGTTACGAATACCAGTGCGGACCATACACGATACGGACGGATACACCGCACAACGAGCAAACTCCACAGAGGACCCTTAGCTAGCCCGATGAGGCACGATAGCGTTGAACCACGTTGGACGGGTCAACAGACCCATGTGGACTTGTGGAATGGGGCTAAATTGGAGGACTGGAGAAGGGGAAAGTTGAGCTCTCAGAAGCTCGTTCCTTTTCCCGACCGACAGATCCAGAGATCCTCCAGAACAAATCCGGGATCCTCCCGCTCTTCTCTCGGATTCTGACCATCGGACCCTGAATCGTGAAAGCCGTCTAGCGTAACCAGCATTGGGGTTGCGGTCTGGCGTTGCGGCTGAGGCGATTGGGCACGTAACTACCTAAATTACGGATTGCCTAGTACATCCCCATACTTCATACGTGGATAACGTAGGTGTCAAGGAAAATAAGGTAATCTGCTTTCTTGTAATCTGGGAACTGGGTCTGATCCAGCGACCGAACTACTCTGCCCATCACCGACTCCTTTACTCCTTTTTAAGTTCTTTGCCCTGCTACCAACACTACATAATCCTTGATACCCTCAACGGCCGGTGCCTCTCTTTCCCAGACGCTCGCTCCCTTTGCTGTCCTCCCGCCCTCGTGTTCCATACCCCAGCATCCCCCCGCCTTCACCTACGACAAACACATCCTGGACTTGTTTGCGACGGCGACCAACGATTTGTGTCGACAACTTCAAGCTCCCGTCTTGATTGACAGCAACCATGGCCTACAACAGATCTTATAACCCCGACGAGCTTCCCAGGTGTGTATGCCCTTTTTCCTGCGACATAAACCGCGTAAACGTCCCCCTACATTCTGCATGTCCCCTCGAGAAGGCCGGAGAGCCCCGCACCCGTCCGCCAAATCATACAGCACCTTCTTAGCCTGTATACGTGTAAGTTGATCGTCTGCTGACATTCTGCTCCCAAGATTCGCCGAGCCAGAACCAAGAGTGAGCAACCCATATCTCTATCCAGCTCCATCGCGACGAGTTCGATGGAGTCCAGCTGGGTCGCATACTAATATCCCCATCAACGGTTGACAGAAAGGAGGTACCTCGCCTGCTCCGCCTCAACAGGCTCCTCAAACAGCGCGATACGAGACCAAGCCACCACCTCCCCGCCCCGTCGAACATCGCAACACCGGTTTCGACCAGCGTCAGAACACCGCCTACGATCAACGCCAGAACAACTACGTAGAGCCCCAGCGTCAAAACACATATCACCAACCTCAAAACGCATACAACCAAAACCACTACGCTCCCGGCCCCTCAGCAGACCCGCACCGACTATCACCGAGAATGCAGCAAGGACCGCCACCAGACCGCTACGGTATGAGCCCGCCTCCCTCGGCGACCGGAGGCCGGCCCACTCATCATAACCTTCCTCCTGTCTCCTCGCGACCGCCCCCAAGCCCGACGACCCGAGATGGCGCCGACCCTACTCTTCTTCCCCTGTTCAGGGCCGTCGATAAGGATGGTGAGTTGTTCCGATACCATATGCACCCTTCCGTCGTATGTAATGGCCGCATTCTAACCGCAACTTGCGCCTCTTCTCCAGGTACCGGCCAGCTCTCCGAAAGAGAACTCTCCGCGGCACTCGTCAACGGCGACTGGACCGCCTTCGACCCGCACACCGTCCGGATGATGATCCGCATGTTCGACAGCGACCGCAGCGGCACGATCGGGTTCGAGGAGTTCTGCGGGCTCTGGTCCTTTTTGGCCTCGTGGCGGACGCTGTTCGACCGCTTCGACATGGACAAGTCGGGCAACATCAGCCTTGACGAGTTCAACAACGCGCTGGTGGCGTTCCGCTACCGGCTCAGCCCGCGCTTCGTCGAGCTTCTGTTCCGCACGTACGACAAGCGCGGCGACGGCGTCATGAGCTTCGACTTGTTTGTGCAGGCTTGCATCAGCCTGAAGCGCATGACGGATGTGTTCAAGAAGTACGACGATGATCGCGATGGATATATCACGCTGAGCTTTGAGGACTTCTTGACGGAAATCTTGCGCCAGCTGAAGTAAAAAGGGCAAGTTGGTCGGCTGTTTGGATGACGGTTCTCTAGCCTCTTTACTCTAATGCATTTGGTTAGGCCATTTTGTACCATGACTCCCCTCTGAGTTGATGTTTTGTTTCCGGCGCACTACCAGCCCTGTTGTTGATGAACGCGAAAAAAAAATCCATGTTGAAGGCTTACCTGACTGCTGGGGCAGCTCGAGCACATCACTGTTGTTGCATCGCTTTGTCATCCTCTGTTTTGAATTGGTTTTGCATAGCAGGAGAGGACATGATCACAGCCTGCTGCGCAGACAGCGTTGTGAAGCTCGATACCCTGCGATTCATGTTTATCTACAAAGTCGTCCGGCATCTTTTCAGCTTGCATCAATATCGCATAGTTCTACGGTTCATATCATTACCCCTTATCATGAAAATATTGTGTTGAATGTCCACCTCCAAAGCTCCTCTAAGCCTATGCGCCGTTTATCATGCTTTCCAAGCCCTCTTCGGCAGTAATACGATACACTTATTCCATTCTCCAGGTATGTCACGATGCCCAACTTAAGCTACAACACCTGACATAATGGGAGCTCGGAGTAACACCGAGCTGGAATACACAAAACCGTACCGGGTAAATTACCCGCGTAACAAACCTACAGTACTGCCGACGACATAGCTGCATGGGATGGCCCCGAGACCGATCCGAGCCAGACCCGAGAATGGACAGCAAATGGTGCAGAGGTGCAAGGATAGCTCTCTCACCATGCCCTTCATCGTCGTTGGCGACAAGGACAAGAGGTACCGTAACAGAGCACAATACCTGCCTGTCCCTTTTCTCGTTTACTAGTAGTATGTAACGCTCGTTACGTGGAAGCTAGAATTTTCCAGCGGAAATAGAAGACGGGCAGGATGTGACGAAAGTGGACAAGCAGACCGAACGGGAGCTACCTGGTAGCGCACTTCTTTAGCTTTGAATTTGATCGATGGACCGGAGGACCGGAGGTGAAAAGGTCGGCTGAGCTTTTTCAAGTAAGAAAGCCGCCACAGCAGAGGGACAAACTGCTGCAGGTAGAAAGAAGGCTTTGGAAGGGTGACTCAAAGTTTTGGCTGAGTCTTCTCCTTGTATGTATATCCACCCTACCCTGCGTTCTTCGGTGCCAGTTTTGTTGATGACGGTCACAGGAGTCAGATGACTCACAGAATGTCTTGGTTGCAGTTGAGTTTTAGGGTCATAAATGATGTTCGAGAAGCTTGCAAAGTAATGTCGCCATGTCGCCTTGGAAAGCTCCGGTTTTGCTAAATTTGGTCGCTCGCATAACCTTTCCCTCTCAAAGAGCTCTCTCTTCCGAATTTCGCAATCAAAAGAGCTCTTTGACAGAGCTAGCATCTGGATTTGAGGTCGTTGTTCGCAGGGTCAAGGTCAGGTACATGGACAGGCTGGTACCTACAGGAAAAGAAAGCAGGCGATAGAAATTTTATCGAAGACGCTTCCATGCATTGCGACTCTGCTTGCTGCAGTGTCATCCGACTAAGCGGGGCTGCGCGAAGCATGATGATGCAACGACAAAGTTTAGATGGGGCTGCCGGGCAGGCAAGGTTGACCGACCGTTAACGTAAGGTAGGGTACCTTATGTATGAGTATTGTGCGTACATAGCCGTACTGTACATGCTGCGGTAGGTTGATAGCGGGTTCCCACGCGGATATCCAACTGCCATGTTACTGTGCTACCGCTAAAAAGCTGTGCAGTAGCCGATCGAGACTGGAGGTTGTCAATATCCAAGATCCAAGGAGGGTCGGGTGTTCGACGACGGATACACTAAGGTAAGTAGTATACACTACACCAGGACTATCAGAAGGAAACTGCTGGAAAAGAGAGAAAAAAGTAAACTAACCTTTAACTTTTGAAGCCCGAGTTTCGTTTTATGCTGTGAAGTTGTTTTCAAGAGCCTGATTAGCTCGCGTGCATGCAATATACGTAATAAAGACTACTAAAGTTATACACCATTAAAACGTAACTAAATTTTGCCTACTCTATAACCATACTCAATTTGGTATAATTGAATAAGGTTGATATAAAAACTATTAAAGATTACTAAAAATTACTATATTATATAAAACTCTATTTTGTACTTTTGTAATAAGTATACAAAATTACGTAAGTAAGAATAAGCTATACCCTATGAAGTATAGCAAACTACTTATCACAGGTTGGCATTGGCTATATAGTGTGCATTCTAAGTTCTACTTTGCAAGCAGAACATTGTCCTATCTTTTGTAGGTTTAGCCGTCTGGGTATATGCATTCCAGCCTGTCATAGTATGTTCTGCTTAAACGGTGGGTTTGATTCCCGACCGTGGCAATTTTGAGAGCGATTTTAGAATACTCTTATGGCACTTAGTCGAGCGCAGCTCTTAAGAATGCAATGACAATTGAGAACTATGTATGCAAATTGAAGAGTACTGAAATGCCACGTATTGGCCCATTGAAAAATGTCCAACTTAGCGGAAATTTGCATTTTCAGATAGTGCTATATAAGCCGTCGTATTGCGATAAATCCTCCGCAACATTGTTGTCCTTGGAAATAGGGCTGGGGCCGGGGCCTTATCTTGAAGATTATTGAAAGATAACTTCGCTTTAAGGAAAGGTAGTATCACAAGTTGGCATTGGCTATATAGTGTGCATTTTGAGTTCTGCTTTACAAGCAGAAAATTGTCCTATCTTTTGTAGGTTTGGCTGTCTGGGCATATGCACCCCAGCTTGTCATAATAGAAGTAAGGGGAGCAGGATTCAAATAAACAACCTTTTAGATGACACTGAAGGTAAACCAAGCTCAAATCTTCATAACTGAACTATCTTTCTTATAAATTATATAAATATATAAATATATAAAGGAAGAGTAATTAGTAAAAAGAATGAGTTAATTTTTAAAATACGTAGAAGAAGAAAAATAATCAGTATCAATAATTTAATGGACTAAAAGAAATACGAAGCTTAAAAAAGAATTATAAAAAATGAAGTTTAAAGCATTTTATATTTACTTAATTAAATTCAATTATATTTGTTCCAATTTTTAAAATAATTCTAAAAAAGAATCTTTACTTCTAAGTTTTCTATCCCTAATTAATTCCCAAATAACTTCTTTAAATGACTATCTTGAAGAACCGCGCTTTTATATTCTATTTATTTATGAATTTTAGACTCATATGGATCGTTGCTGCAAAGTTAGTATTTACCATTGGATTTCTTATATTTTACTTTTTTCAAG